TCTCTGCCCACCTATTTCAGTGGAGCATCTACCCCCGGAGGAAGCAGCCATGTGCCACAGCAGCACCTCTCGTGTCTTATAGAGGCTGCGTGCAGGGGACAATCCTTACACATGACAACTGCACAAGGGCTGGGGTGAGCCATGCTCTCTCCCCAAACTAACATTTTGTCTATTTTTGTCTGACCAGCAGAGTCAGCACTTTAGGAATGCCTACGTAATAGTTATATTTGTCTGATCCCTTGAGGCTATGTCTGCAAGCTTAATCCACCTACTTAAATTTGACACAAGTTGACAGGTCTTTGCAACAAAAAGCATTTAGTGACCATCCCTTGTGCTCTTTGACATATGAAAGTCACTTTAATATGCTGCTGTTACACAGAGAGATATCACACTTGTATCCATGATGATGCAGCTTGATGTCCTGGCTTCCCTTTCAGATAAATGGAAATAAGTCCTCTGGTCACACAGGGTGAGATCCTGAATCCCTTGACTGTTCAGACCCGAGTCTTTGCTGGGTTGTAACTGATCTTTATCTAACCGCAGGGAGAAATTAGTGCAGACTTTCCTCCCTCTTGTGAATGTTCCAGCCTGGTGATGGTGAAATGCTATCTTTAGACTTTGTGCAAGCCTTGATTTAATGCTCAAGGTCATTTCCTTCACCTAATGGGGGAAAAAAAAAAAAAAAAAAAAAAAACAAAACAAAAACCAAACAACACAATACTCATTTTCCAGCATCATTGAGAGTTCCTAAGTCTACCCAAAACAAACCTGGCCTTGACTGCAGAGTCACAAGATGAGAAGGGTTATCCAGCCAGACCTCTTTCCCACTACGCTTGCTGATAACCTGTAGCTCTCTAATGGTCTGAACTGCAAGTCTCCAGAATACTTTCCTCCCAGCACAGTAGTATAGTAGGACCTGGAGACTGTTTTAGAACCAGAAGCATGCCTCATTATGTTTACACTCCAATGTGAAAATTAATATATATGATGTCAGGCAGTTTCTATGCTTGTTGCTGTCACAGAAGCCAGTGGAAGTGGGAATTCAGAGCCCTTGAAAACTGGCCACCACACGTAAGAACCCTGTCAGTTCCTTGCCAAAGCTTCTTGTGGTTATTGCAGGTCAGATGTCAGTGCAGCCAGACCTAAAATGGAATTGAAATTTTAAATAACTGTAGTCCCAATTTAACATGGTTCTTGAGCATTTCCATAACTTTATCACATGGGTAATCTCATATAACTTTTTGAAGCTTAGTTATCTATATGCATAGCAAGAGATTTTAAGTCTTATTTTATCTGAAAAACCGAGCATAGTAAATGTGGAACAGTGATGGAAAATTGTTGGTAATGGGTCAAGTTGCATCTCCTGCTGGTTTTCAGGAGTATATGTGTGCATGTATAATTATAAATCACAAATAAAAATGTCTTGGCTCTAAGCACTCATATCCTATGTCAAACTGGATCCTGAACGCATCTCATGACATGGCTGAGGCATTAAAACATTTCTGGAGATGTTATCTAAGTGACAGTTGTGCTTTCACTTTATTTGCAAACTACACTTTTTAATATACTATTCTTTCTGAGTAGCCATGTAGAAAGGACTGCTAAGTTAATTCCTTTTCTTGCTGTGGAATTATATATAGCCAGCTGCTTTACAAGCTTCACAACGAACGAATAACCCAGGGTCTGTGTTTAGCACACCACCACCCACTGAAATACGACATTCCTGGCTTCTTAAATAAAGAACTGCAAAGAAGAGACCATTACCTTTTGTCTTAGAAACCGTGAGGCCAAAGTTAACTTTGGTTGCTTAGCAGAAGGCCCAGCTGATGTTATGGTATCAATCCAGTGGTAACTGGACCTTCGGCAGCCTCCTTCCCCTGTAGCCCAAGAGGCATCGTTATAACCCGGTGAAGAACACTTCTCCCAAGGGGCTGAGGAGCTCATGCTGGCGGCAACACGTTCTCCACCGCCTGCCCCCTCAATGCCTCGACAGAGCACCGTATTAGGCAACGGGGCTGTCGGGAACGGCATCTGGGGACCCCAGCGAGAATGCCGCCCGGGGAAGGAGCCCAGCAGTAAGCTGCTGGTCGGGCGCACAGAGTCCTTTCCTGGCTGGCAGGTCTGTCTCAGAGGTCAGCCAGAGAAGGCTAGCATTCTTCGGGGAGGTAGAAACTACTCGGTGCTATTAATGGGGTTTTTTCCTGGCTGTCCTCAGGAATGGAATTGCAAGCCAAGCACGACCATGAAAGGGGTCGCACATGGTCAGAAGATTATGTTGAAGTATCTCCCGTGTCTCTTTCGCTCCCAGTGCCCGGAACTCTCCCCGTTCCTTTTTCTTTCTCACGCCATAATTCAGGTCTCCCCCTGAGCTCAGTTCTTGCATCATTTTTCCTAGCTATAGCCCAAACAGCCTTGAATTATGGTTTAGGAAAGAAACTACTGACTTCTTGGTCTGGCTTCAGTCGTCGTCCAGTCACAGATTTGCCGAATAGCTGAGGTTGCAAAGGACCCCTGGAGAGCGTTTAGTCCAAGCTTCCTGCTAGGAACAGAGTCAGCTAGAGTAGGTTGCCCATGACATTGTTCGTGCTTTGAATATCTCCTTGTATGTCTGCATATATGAGATGAAGTTCAGACCATAATAGCAGTGTTTCAGGTCTGGTCTGTGCTGTAGAGTTTGGTTAACATCTGTGCCTACTGACATGTAAAATAGGACTGGAAATATGTGTGATTTCTGACCAACACTACTGTGTGATGAAGCTGTGAAAAACCTTTCCAAATTAAAGAAAAACTCAAGGCAAGTCCCTTAAAAACCTTATAACCCTTTCATCTGAGACTGGAAATTGCTTAGTTTGGTGAGCTTTTGTTTATAAGTTTCTGGCTCTTGCTAGTGAGCCAGGGAGAATTTTCTAAATCAGTGTTCGTAAGAATACTCCCTGTTTCTAGCTATTAAATTTCAAAAAGCCAGGTATACAGTCAATATTTTTCTGCTATTACTTTTCCATGCAAGAAACAGACTTCCATGCCACAGAGGTGCTATTTTATTCTCAGTGGAAGCTGTGAGAAATGTCATGGTAGTAAAGGGATATGTTTCAAAATGTACTTTTTGTGGTGTGATTTTCACATTTTCATATGAAAAATGTAAGTATTTTCCTAGGCCATAATGCAAAACTTAGTATGTTAGTAATTAGACCAGAAAAAATAAATTGCTATGAACCTAAGTAAAGCTATTTTATTATTATCAGACCCTGTGTCTGTTGGCTTTTAATATACATTCTCCCTTTATATTCCATATGATGGGTGCTGTGACCAGAACATACAGCACTGAGCTCTTCCCTTTCACAACTGATTCTCTTTGAACCTTCTACAAGGATTTGCTATAGCATCCACACATGTGGCTGGAAGTTCCTAGACCATATCAAATTCACACACTTAGCTTAAAATTATATTTGTACTAAAGGTATTCCTCCTTTTTAAACATTAAATGGATTTGTTAAGAATTGGAAGTATGTTTTAGTTATATTTAGACCTGAGTGCAAAGGAATAGCCTTACCAGGATTTCTATCTGACGGAAGTTGAAACTTTATTTCCTGAATATGACCTGAGGTAGGATCCTGAAGATTAATACCCATTACATGACAAAGGTTAGTAGGAGCCATCTACTGTTACAGTTAAGGATTTCAGCCTTTTTTATCTTTGCTTGTTGCAAGTAGTTGAAGTCAATGCACTATCTCCAATAAATATTACTATTTTCAACCAGTCTGGAGTCCTAAGGCTTTTACAGGTTGAATATAAGTTTCCTTTAACATTTTAAAAATAAATTTTATCTACTTAATTTGTTCTTATGTGTTTAGATCGGAGAACATGTCAGCCCAAAAGGATAACATTTAAATAGAATAAAAAACCTGGTTTCTGTATCACATATCTGAAAGGGAAGCAACTTCGATTTAAAACCATGACTGAAAGAAAGAAAAATCAAACATACTGCAGGTCCTATGGAGATCAGCTAAGCTGATTTTTTTACTTCCTTCTTGCACAGAACACTGAACTCTGGATCTAATGGTGTGGTGAAAATGAGAGATAGGTCTCTGAATTCTCTGCATGATCCTTCTATGTTAATGGAGCCATTACACTTCACAGTTGAAGTCATGTCAGTTAATGGGATGTTTGCTTAAACATAGGATCTCATCTAACAGAAGCATATTGATGTGGTAAATTATATATTTAAGCATAGGTTCAAGACCAATTGACTTAAGCAAATCAAACCCAAATTTGAAATTCAAGACGGATTCCATGGTATTTCAGAACTGTCCTAAACTGGAATTGTCAAAAGGTTCCGAAATATACTGGGGCCCACCTGTATAAATTGATATGAATACATGAAGGTACATGACTGCATGACAGGGAGAGACCTTACTGTTCTCTACAACTACCTGAGAGGAGGGTGTAGTGAAGTGTGTGCGGGTCTCTTCCCCCGGGTAACAAGTGGTAGGACAAGAGGAGATGGCCTCAAGTTGTGCCAGGGGTGGTTTGGATTGGATATTAGGAAAGAGTTCTTCACTGAAAGGGCTGTGGGGCATTGGGACAGGCTGCCCAGGGAAGCGGTTGGGTCACCATCCCTGGAGGGATTTGAAAGTCATGTAGATGTGGTGCTTAGGGACATGGGTTAGTGGTGGGCTTGGCAGTGCTGGGTTAACAGTTGGACTCGATGATCCTAAAGGTCTTTTCCAAACTAAACAATTCTATGATTCCAGGAGTATTGTATCTATCCAGACTGAACAAGTTCAGTACCCTGTCTTTACAGAGCGTAAGCTTTAGGCCTCTGACCGTGTCACTCTGAAGATTCCACATGTTGTATGTGTGAAAGCAAAAAACTTTAAGGACTATATTAAAATACTAACTGAGCCCAAACTCTGTTCAAATTCAACAAACATATACCAAATGTGTGAAAATATTTGCTTTTACTTGACACTCAATATCTGTCTTCTTTCCTTATTTTTCAGAGACTGAAGCTGAAAATGCACTACCACCTCCAGGTTAGTGTAAAAGATGCTAAGTTATGCTGTAATACTAACAATGGCTGCATGAGACTTGATACTGCATAGCCATAATATGATTTGTGTTCATTGTCCCTTTGAAAGTAAGAAGACAGCAGGAAAATTAAGAAAGCCTACCCAAAAAAAAAAGATATTCTTACTTCTCTTTGCCTGAATGTTGATTTTTCAGACTCAGTTTTTGTTTGTGAGAGACTCGTTTGCACAATGATGCAAATGTCCTTCAGGATACAGGAAAATGATGACTGCTTAAATTCTGTGGCTAAATTATGCTGTCTTCTTTGATGCTGAACAACATCTAGTTACCAAAATGCTCCCTTTGATTTCTCCTCGAAGGTACACCATGAGTAAAGTTGACAAAATTAAGCGTGGGATTTATTTCACCTAATTTTAGCCATCTGAAGATTAGGTATCTGTTGTTCAACAGTGTTCCACCTATAACCAGTGGAGAAGATCCTGGGTCATACATACTCATCCAATGGGCAGTTCCTGGATAACCTATCTAAAAGGTCACTGGTTGTCTATGTATGGGAAATTGCCCTGAGGAGTCTAGTTGCCTAGATTGGAGTGCGTGAATAACTTCCAGGAAGCCAAAGTTATGTGAGGTGAAACTCATCCATGAGGACTAGGGCTTCAGATAAAGCCGATGCTCTGTGCATAACTGCTACATATAATTTCAGAATAGTCACACTGAGGTTCATATCTAATATACTTTGTACTTGAATTCATGTTCTTCAATCTAAACTTTTAAGTAGAACTGAAATGAGAAGCTGCTTTTTGTAAACAGAAGGGAATAGCATCTTTGAAGTATTACATTAAAAACAGCTATTAAAATTTTCAAATAAATATCATCTTAATTTCTATTTAAATACACGGGATTAAATACAAAATCACTCCCATAAACCCCTTCCTTTTCCCCATACCTGTACTTCTTCTGTAAAACGAGTAGGGTGTCAGTAGGCTTTTACAGTCAGGCACGGACCAAACTGGGATACTTCTGAGATGGAAGTGCCAGTCGCTTCCTCTAGGTTCCTTGTGTCTGACTCAGGATGTTGTCAACTTGGATTACCAAGTGCTATCACACAAAGAGGGAAGTTGATTGTTCAAGAATCCAAATGCTATTGCATATAAAATGTTTATTGGACATAATCAACATCTTGAACGACACCAGGAAAATTTTGGGAACTCATTGTAAGAGCTCCTTCTAGATCTCAATGTCAAGCCACCAGGTTGGTATACTTAGCCCTGATGAGGTTTTCAAAGGGGATTTAGACATGTTACCATCAGCCAAAACCAGTGAATTCTCCTAATTTCAGTTCCTAACAGGAAAGGAAAGTGTTACTGGTGCAAAATTGCCATTAAAAAGGAACAGGCTTGACCATCTGGCCAAGATGGACAACCTGACAATTAGAGCTTGGAAATTCAGGGAATACAGACAGAAGCATCTGGGACTCTGTCACTCTTCCAGAATATGGACTTGTTTTCCAAATGTCAAGTTTTGTTTTCATAGTTACCATGGCTATGAACATGTGAACAAAAAATCAGGATAATCATAATATCAGCTGGCTCTTGGAGATGTTTTCTCCATGGCACAAAAATTATCTTACCTCCATCTTGAAAATGTTAAACCATTGACATTCATCCAAACCTATAGTCTAACAGGCAGCTGACAGGTAAGTTTGCCACAGAAAGGTCATTGTTTACAGGCAGCACATTACTGAGTGTTTACAACTTGAAGACAGGACAATTCATATGATTTGACAAGTCTCTAAATGTAAATTGAATGAGATAGGAAACCGGAGAAGAGGAATCCTATCAAATCTTGAAGTAGAGAAAGCATAGAATTTTTTAGTTTGTTGAAAATACAGTCCGAGTTTTCTCATACATATGAGGTCAAAATTCACATTCACCTGCTTGGAGTAGAGGACAAGCTGGCAACTCTTCTGATCAAGAAAACCAAAAAATGTTAAGAAAGATGACGATAAAGAATTAAGGACGCTCTCTATACACTCTCTCTGTGTTGTACTTCATCTTAAGGAGAAGCCAGTTAGGGTGATGGATCTCTGGATACCATTAATATTTGGCAGTATTTCATGTCTGATCCAATACCATTCAAAATAACAATGATATGTAACTCATTTCAAAGGATTTTGTAAATAAACCCAAGAACAAGAGACTAACAATTGCTACTTCTGAAAAACAAACAAACAAACAAACAAAAAACAACAAACAGAAAAAAAATAAACAACCAGTATTTTTCTTCACTGAGTACAGGAACTTCAATAAGACTCATTCAAAACAGAGTCATCAAATGTTTTATGGGATTACAACTGTTTATTACACATACACGTATATCAATAATTCTTTAATGTTGTTTATTCAATACTAGCAGAACCTAGAGTATTTCTGTATTTTTAAATGCTGTGTAAGTTTTTCTTTTTACTTTAAGATCCTCTCAAAAATATACTTGTACTTCCTACACAGAACAAAAAACATCACAGGAGGGTGAAACTGGAAAGGGTAAAGGTGAGTCTGAAATCATATTTTAAAAATGGGCAGTAAAGAAACATTCCTAAATGCTGTTCTGATGCTGGATTGCTTGAGCTTTAATTCATAATTTTGGTGCCAAATTTTAGAAGTGTGATGTGAAGCTTCTTGGATCCTTTTTCTGCATGACTAGTCCTGCACAAGGAAATCATGATACTTACGAGTATCTTCAAAAATTCTGCAAACACAACTGACACTTTGACAACAGTAGACTGTTATAGACTGCTTAATTAATAAATCAAATTTCAAGTGATTTGCATGAGCAGAAAGCCATGTTTAAGTGAGCCTGGATGTTGACACTGAGCAAGCTTGATAAAACTCAGATACTATGCACATTGGTAGATTTTAGATAAAGTGGACAATCTCCTACTGTCATTCTAAGATGTTTCTATTCTACCACAGAAATTTGATATTGCATATTTTACCTTTCGACAAAGTCCAATAGCTTTTTCATCTGAAAAAAGAAACCACACATTCATCTTTCTGTCCTCACTGGGAGTTCAGCAGCTGAGCTCATTAGAAGTTCTGAAAAATGTCTTTGAAGATTGTCTGCTATGAACAAACACATAACTGTTCCACTAGCAATGCATGTAAAAATCAGCTCTATTTTTAATATTATTTTTGTGCTGCTGAGATTAGACTCCAGCTCTGATGGCAATTTTTTATAGTTACAAAGATCCATTTTGAGGGAACTGGGCCAAATTCCACTCCTCTTTTGTATTCCCTGCCAAAGTAGAATTCAAACAGCTCATCAGCTTATGTTGAAAAGAATAATCTTTTTTTTTTTTTCCTCTTTCTGATAAAAAGCTAAACCAGACCAAAACGTACTTACAACTGATGCAATGTTTGCTTTTCATTTGGCACAGTTATGCTTTTTCATGGCAAATCAAGAAATGGCTTGCTTGAAAATGTATTCTGGCTTTTGGTCTCTTCCAGACAAGATCTTGCCTTTTAGACAGACTTGGATGTATCTTTGATACTTGCAGATTTATTTGGAAAAGGTGTGCATGGCTATTTTTCTCAACAAAGTCAAAATATTAACACAGAGTGTGTGATTCAAGTACCCTTTTGAAAATAAAAATGCTGAACCAGGATTCAGTGCATGTTATTTTGCCAGCTATCTTTGCATTGAGCAATTATTTTGACACACAAAAATTCTTGCAAGTAATCAAATCTGTCATCTTGGTAATGGAAACACGATTCAGGAATAATTTGCATGCCTAATGATAGGAAAAAAGATGAAGGTCTTGCCTCAAGGTATTCCAGCAGTTAGTTCTGCTTGCTTTAATTTTGATATGAGAGAAATGTCTGTTCCTGAACTGAACTTGAACGGTGTTTCCCCCACTACTTACAAGTCTACATTTTACTGAATAAAAAAGAAAACATGGTAGGTATCTTATCAAATACTACTATTATCTTTTTATACTCTATTATGATTCTGGTTTGGATTCAGTGGAGGGGGAAAATGCTTTCTTGGTGCTTACCCTGTCTATGAGGGCTTTGCTGCCCAAAAAATTGTTTCAGATCCTAGTATGGGAAGCGTTTCTAGTTTCAGTCCATGGTGGCACCAGCTGCCTCAGTAAGAATTCCAGTGAAAGTCTGAATACCAATATGTAGGAAGAATGACTTTCTGCCATGCTCCAGTGCCACTGTCACCTCTGCAAAGCAATGTAGGTGTCATCGCCAGACCCTTGGTAGTAATTTTTTATTTAATTAGGTATAGTGCAATTGTTCCTACCAGCTCCTGTTTTGTTTCAGAGTATCACCAAGTAAGGGAAAGTATATTTTCTGGGAGTGATTCTTTCATGTTTGTCTGCCAGAAAAAATCTTTATAATGGTGAGCATAATTCACAAAATGGGAAAAGGTTCCATTTTTCCAATCTGTCCAAAATCATTTAGACTAGCAAATCAGCGGTTCAACAATGAAATGAGGACAGAACCAGCTAGAGGTTAGCTTTTGTAGAAGCTATTTATAAAACTGTTTCTGTAGCTTCGGATGTAACAGATTTGGGCACTTCCCTGAATAGGAACGAGACGTGAAAGTTTTCATATCTGAATTCCACAGCAACTCTACAATACCTGTGTGTTAGCAGTTGTGACATCCTTGCTGATAACTCATAAGAAACATCACACTGTAGGAACCTGGGGCAGCCCCTCTGCAGCACAGTCAGGCTGTGCTGGAACCTGGCATCTAGGGAGGAAAGCTTGGTAGTCCACGTAAACCATGTAGTCCATCATTTTCACCTCATTTCTAAGACAAATTTGGCAGCAGAAGTTAGGAAAATAAAGTACACCTATCTGTGTGTCTCTTTTACTGTTCTATTTCTTTTTAGCAGTTGTTGTCTGTCTGAAGTTACATATTTATGTTCCTTTATGTTCACTGTGAAGTTAAGACATGGTGGACAGTGTGATGAAGTCTTTGTTATTCTGTGGTTATTTTGCTGTAAATTAGTAGCTCAGCACGGTAAAAATAAAATTTTCTTGCATAGAAAGTTCTTCTATAGTATTTATAGTTCCAAAAATATCTGAAGTAATATTGTAAAAAATTCAGTATATATATGATTCCATTTTATTTTCAGATTAAAAAGTGATTCAGCAGAAAGCCCATCAAATTTACTATGTTATCCCATACTCATTCAATTTAAATTGTTCTGCCTTTTTTTTTTTTTTAATTTTAGCATTATCTTACAGATTGAATATTGTCATAATTGTATTCCCACTTGCTGGAGTAATAACTGAATTTTAATATAAATTTGCTCATTCCTTTTTTAGGTCACATCCAGCCATTCAGAGAGCTACTAAAGTTTCTGCATGTTTTACTGATATCTTTTTCTCTAGGTTTCATCCAACCATTTACTAAAATGTTCGCATGTTTCATCCTTGTATTTTTCCAGGTTTCACTTATCCATTCACCCCTCCACTAAAACTTCCATATATACGTACTTCATTTATCATTTCTAAAGTGCCAAGTCCCCTTGATGGGACTGCTGAATACTCATTAGAAAACAGATGGGTAATTGAAGGCAACTAAATTTTAAACTCTCAGTCTCAGAAGGGTTAAACTGTTCTCAGTAATTTCTGCCAAAAACCAAGATGACTCAGCCAGTTGGTTGAGTTAGTCTGTGTTTGTTTATGTACCATAAAGACAAGGGTTCCCTCTTTGTGGTGTTTATCTACCTCCTGCCTTAGTCCTGAACGCTCACTGCAGGGCGCAGTGGCACAGACAAATGTTAAGATGCTCTGAAGTCACCCACAGCTTCAAAATAGTGTCACTCCCCTGTTCACCACTCTGCCTATATACACCTGCCGTATGTCTCATGCCAGATCCGTGGTCATCAGTAAGTGAGAGCAAGGAACAACAACAAAGAAAGATTAATTAGTTTACCGTCTCTCTTAGCTGATTGAATCAGGTTTGAGATGCTGCTTCGGTGGAGTCAAAATTCCAAAATTCCCCTGTTCACTTCTGTAGCACCAGGCTTTTGACATTAACACATGGCTTTCATTTTCTTTTAAACAGCTGAAAAACAGAAAAGTAAAATAACAGATTAATACAGTGTCGTGGTTTGAGCTCAGAGGGCAACTGAGCACCACACAGCTGCTCGCTCCTCCCTTCCCTCCCAGCGGTGAGAAGGGACAAATAAGCCAGGCTTGGGATTTGAGATAGGACCAGGATGGGCAGATCACCCATTATGGTCATGGGCAAAAGGCAGACTCGTTAGGGGAAGAAAAAAAGAACATAGATTTATTACAGACACTAACAACAACACTGAACAGAGCAGGACAGTGAGAAGTATTGCCACATCTTGAGAACACCTTCCCCCCACCCCTCCCTTCTTCCCGGGCTCAGCTCTGCTCCCGATATCTCTGCCTCCTCCCCCAGTGGCGCAGGGGCAGGGAATGGGGGGTGCAGTCAGCGCTGCCACTTCCTTGTGTTCGGTGAGGGGAGTGTCCAAAACTTGTTCCCCCCTGCTCCATCGTGGTCCCCTCTCACAGGAGACAGTCCTCCACAAACTTTCTCCAACTTGAATTCCTCCCATGGGCCGCAGCGTTCCCCACACTGCTCCGTCATGGGTCACTAACTTCCTCCGACTGGATTCCCTCCCACGGCTGCAGCCCTTCCCGAGCTGCTCCGGCGTGGGACTCCCCCGCATGCTGCAATCCTCCCAGCACTGAATTACAGCAGCGGGGCTGCCTTTTCCCATGAGACCCCGGCTTCTTCGGGCACAGAACCTTGATCATCCCGGTGGAAGCCACAGGCCATAAATCAGTGCCTGCTCCACCGTAGATCTCCATGGGTGGCAGGGGGGGGCCGCCCTGCCGTCTCCCCACAGGATACAGGGGGGTCTCTGCTCTGGCACACCTCCCCCCTCCTTTCTTCCTCCGTTCCCCACTGACCTTGGTGTTCATGCAGCTGCAGCAACTCCTCCTCACAAGTCCGACTGCCCGTCACCACGTCCCTTCTTAAATACGTTATCGCAGAGGCGCAGCCGATTGGCTCAATTTCCCAAACAGAGGTGGAGCTGACGTGGAGCTGGGGGAGCTTCGAGAAACTTCTCACAGGGGGCCGCCCCGATAGCCCCCTCCCCTGCTACCAAAAAACTCCACCACTCACTCAAACCCAGAACATACAATTTTGCCACTTCTGCAAAACATTTAATTTATCAACAATGTGACTGATGGCACAGAATAGCAGCTCCCACTTTTGGTGACAGATTGCAAAACAAGGGTAAGTAGGTCCAAAATTCTTTATATCAGCAGTTCATATATAAATCTGTAGGTATTACTTATATTTTGACATATTTTTCTACACACTTGCTGTGTCAGCAGTCAGAAATCTTAATATTGAGGTTACACTAACTGTGAGTTTTAGAAGTTTTACATTAGCTACTTCTGAGATATGGACCGTTCTTTCCTCCGAGACTCTACCTCTGATGGAGCTCCTAGAGGCCCGGTCCTCAGTTAATGTGGTCATTTAGATACAAGCAAATAAATGTAAATATCCTATTTGTTTATGAAAATGTGCCATAGATGAATAGAAGCCAAAGAACAAAAATCTCTATAGAGTAATATATCCTATCAACCTACTGCCAAATGAATTGTGATTTCCTCATACCTAGCTCTTGTCATGCAACAGATTGCTAAAGATGTTCCATTAAAAGTTTACTTGCAGAAGATAAGGATAGTGAACTAATGACCATAGTTCTACCACCAAGCCTGTTATTTTTGCAATTTTTATTATCTTTAAATAGAAATTACTGAGAACATAAACAATCGTTCATCACAGAAAGCAAATCGGTTACAGCTGTTGAACCATTTTTCATATTTATTCAACAGTTGGTTCATTTCATCCTAGAAGCCTGAGGCATAAGGAGTGATGCATTGATAATAACCCATCTGTCAAAACAATCCTACTGTCATGTACTGTTTTTATACTCTTTCCATTAACAGCACATTCGATTGTGCTCTCATTTTGATATTTCTGAAATGTTTGTTTTGATTTGTTTGTGTTTGATGTTAACATTTTGTTCAAAAAATAATAGATTACCCTGGAGAAACACCAGCAATCCCTCTGCAAAAGTAATAACACCCCTTTGTTGTTTTAGTTTTTCAAATGTTTATAGAAAATAGAAGTCAAATAGAGTGGTCCTTTAATAATGCGATTATCGTACATCATCATGTAGGTTGCATCACATCAAATGTTATATGCTGATTGATCTTAATTATTTTTTTCTGACCAGAGAGCATATTCTGTACTTCTTCAAGCCATTATCAACCACAGTGGTGACACTGTTGACAGAAAGAGTTGAAAGTACACTTTACACTTTCATGAAATGCAGAGAAAGTTTTGCAGTAGAATTACGCTTGCATTCATTTAGTTGCTAGCACAATATGTTAAAACATCTGACATGACTTTATAGTTACTGTGCTTTCACTGAAAATCAACATCTTCAATGTCTGCTTATGCCATTGGATGGTGCAGGTGGTGAGAACTCTTCCACTAAATGATTATTATGTTTTTTTTGCTATGAATAAGAAATTATTTTTGTAAAGTAACGTATTAATCCTTCATGTGCAGGCCTACCTTTTGCAACTGACATCTTCCTCCCAAGGGATTTTTAAAAAGAAGTTTGATGAATCATTAAAAAGGAATGAGTGAAATGTTACAGCTAAGTTTCTAAATTCTATTAACAGACTGTCAATTAACCTTCAGTGGTTAAGCAAGAATAAAAAATTAATATGACCAGTATTTACAAAAATGCAACTATACTTCATATGTAGTTTTATCATAGTTATTACATTTGTCCTTGAGAAAATATAGACAAATTGTAACTTTAAGGTCAAAATCAATGGATAATTTAAGAATTAAAATTTAATTCTGGAACCCCAAATCCAAAATCTAAAAAAAAAAAAAAAGAAAAAGAATATCCTTACAAATGTGGGTTAATATTTTCCAAAGTTGTTCTTGTTCAACTGTCTTTTCTTTCACTTTGAAATGTTCTCCAGATGATTTTCTGATGATGTTTAAAAGACATGTTATCTTTACATTATATATGTATTAAATCCTAAGTATCTCTAGTTCATTTAAGCCTCCCAAATGCTACACTGGTGTTTGGTTTTTTTTTTTTTTAGCATTATCCTTTTAAGACACTAAGACTTTTTGCCTATTTTTATCAGAAACTGTTATCTCAGAGGTTTCTAGTCAACATCTAAAGTTCAGAGAGAATAGTCTTTACCTTATTCTGGTTTTCTAATAAATATGATTACAGTATTTCAGGTTTAATGCTAGTTTCATGTTTTTTTCAGGCTTTTAATTTATATAAATATGTACCTCAATGTACTCTGTGAGATTAAACATTTTAAAATACCCAGATAACAATTGCTTGCAGTGATTTAATACCTGATGATAGTCAGCTTTTAGTGTGATTAAAAGGAAAATCCAGAGTGATGATAATAGTTCTTATTTTAAATTATTCTCCTATAACGTGGGAAAAATGAGTTGTTTATTCCTTGCATTTTAAATCAATATTCTAATACAAAAGTTGTAAAGTATTAATACAGGGGACTATTTTTAACAGTTGCATATCTTGATTTAATGATGCTGAATGCATATATGGTGCACATTTTAATTGCAGACACGGACATCAGAGAAATGGCATCTTCCTCAGGTCAGATATGTGATTGACCTTGATTTCACTGTGGCGTTTTTGCATTTACTGTGGATTACATCTCTAACAAACAGAACCACTCAGCAGCTTTCATATAAACTCATGATTTAATAATAGATCACAGTCCACATCTCATTCTTCTTTTACTTGCTTGAAAGATTAAGGTTTACCATTTCAGCTACTGAATTACTCAACGCTTTCTTCATCAGTTTGAAGCTTCCATTGTGAATGCCTCTGACTATTATGATCTCTTTCCCTTTCTTTTGCAGGTTTTACATTTTCACATAGTTGTTTTAAAGCAGATGATCGTCTGTACTTTCCGTTTCTTTATGCACTTTTTATTTGTATTTCTTTTCACAGATGAAGATGACACTTCAGTTAGTACTCCACCAGAAGGTTAGGACTGCAATAGCACTGTGTGTGTGTGTGTGTATGTATGTATGTACTTCTCTCTTGACTATTAATGAAGAAAAAGTCCAAACCATTGGACTGAACCCAAAACATACTAATTAGAGAAAAAGTTTTTTGAAGTCCCTTCCATTAAATTAATCTCTGTTCAGAAGCACAATACCTTCATACCAGACAAGTTCCTTTCCAGTCCTGTCTTGAGGTCTTTGGTAGAACTTCTGCCGTTGGAAGGTAAAATATTGGTTAGCAGCTCTAAAAGCAGCTCCCCTTATCTTTTCCTATCAACAAACATGGAGTGCATTTTTAAGGTTAGTCTTGAGAGCAAATTCCAGAATTACAAATAAAACAGATGTTTTATGACTTCAAACCAGGTTTATCCACATAACTGTCTATCACCTCACCGTAGGCCATGCGACCTACAGGGTAGTTTGAAGGTACTGCTCCAAGCCATTGCTGCCAAGCTGGCACAAAAAAAGCCTTTGGTTGTTGGCAGCAAAAGAAAAGCAACAGCACAGGGGTCCATCATGATAGATAGATAGATATAGGCAAAATTTCTTCATTGTTTGCTTAATATGATTTTTAAAAATAACCTGTGAATGAAACAGAGATTTTGAACACTAGAAGATGCTTTGCAGTGTGTCAAATGAAAAACATGTTCCTAATTATCTTCACTGCCCTAAATGATCACATTTTCTTTATTTCTCCCAAAATTATTTGCATTATTAACTTTGGCCTGAATACTGTCTGGAAAGTCTGTAGCAGTACATTGATTTACAGTGCTAGAGGATCTTACTGGTAAAAGACAAATATATAAGTAATATTGTAAATCACAAACCCCTAAAAACTGATTTTAACTATTTATTGTTATTTTGCACAGCCTAGATAAATAAATAGACTATTTAAATAATTCAAAGTACTGTCCCCTCAGTTAAACATTGAATATAAATTCATCTGTCATCTGGAACTACACAAATCATGAAGAAAACATCAGCTTCACAGAACCCTTCTAAATATGAACTACTAAAAAGGATACCTTGAATGGAAGTTAAACTAATTTAGATATTCTAGAGAAAAGGGGGAAAGATTTCTGATTTTTTTTCTCAGCTGTTCACTTCCTTTTTCTGATATTCTAGTAGTTCCTCATAGGTATGGTCCTAAATAACTAGTCCGATCTTCTTGCATGAAGAATCAATGTTCTTAAATTCCCAACAATCTGAGGTCAGTTAAGCTGTGATCTCTGAGCTGGTGTCATCTAAATTGCTCTTCCCTTTCAGATGGGATGTCTAAGCCAGCGGAAAGAAAAGATTCAGGTGAGACCTCCTGAAAAACATGATTAAACACTCCAAAATTTACATCATAGAATTATAATTAATACTTTATTTCTTAGATAATATTTAATTTTATTTTCATTGTTTATACAGTATCAAACTGCAACTGTTGAAATGCTTCTAAGTGCCAGAGCAAAGAGGTTTCTAGCAGCTAAACCAGGAGTGAGAGAAGGCTCTGCTGCACAAGACAGGACATGTATCGCTATTTTACACATACATACATACCTATCTATCTATATCTATTTCTGTATAGATAGATACACAGCTGTGCCCTTCCTCCTCAGCTCGCAGGGTGACAGTGGCTTACCTGAATCCCACAAACAGGCCCCAGGAGACTGTAGGAGAATGGTTTCTTCTCACAGCTCAAAGGACGGTGGGGAAAACTTAGCAAAGTCATAACCTCTTTCTTCCTACTCTGGCAGGTAACGCACACCACACTCATTTTTGTGGTTTCAGGATTTGCAGCCTCTGGAACAAAATGAGCAGCAGGTACTTCAACCATGGTTCTTGACCTGGCATAGCCACCTATGCCAGCACCCTGCGCCAACGTCAAACCCACGTGCTGTTCTGTTTGTTTAATAAATTGAAAAGTGTTAATAGCTAAAGGTGATGATAATAGTTAGGTGTTATTTTATGTGGTACTAAATTAATGACTCCATGTAAGCTTCTTCCATTTATTAATATCCTTTTTCCATTTCCCTCTGTGGCGCGTTAGGTTTGTTACTGCACATGACCAGGTCCTGTACCGGGCATTGTCACATCATTCTGTTCACACCTGTAACTATCACTTGCTTTTACATTGTTTCCATATACTAGCATGTTATACTGGCATAATCTAAACATCTGGAGAGAGTATATATAGATGTGTATCTATATATATTTGTGTTCATGTATGTCTGTGTACATGTCTTCATATCTGTGTATATACATGTGTGTATATACATGAATGTCTTTACATGTAAGAAATGTTGTACAAGCAGAGGAGTTACGTACATCACCCATAGTTCACTGAAAAACTGAAAGGCAAAGATTTTATAGCAAAGCTATGTAGCACTTCTGTATCTTTTTAATATTCCTAATAGGCTTTAGAATAATGAAACCAGTTTGGTTGCACCTTCCCTTGGTTGTCACAAGTTGTGTTGCATTCATGAGCAATGTAAATTTTCATGAGTTAAAAAGATTCCTGTAGCAGTCATCTCTACACAGTGGAAAGACAATTCTGAGTTATTACTTGCTGCAGAAAGTACGGAGCAGGGAAAGGAACTTTTAATTTCAAGACCAGGGTTTGACTAAGAGAGAAATTCCTCATTTATGTTAGTTATGAAACCAAAACCAAAAGCGCATTGGGTAAACTGTTAAAAGCTGCCTTCGCTTCTGAAACAACTAGAAGTTCAAGGGGAACAAGGGAGATGCACCTCTGATCTGAAAGAGACAGATGGCTTTGTTAATTATAGCTGTACATTTCCACATTTGCTTTGCTCTTCAGTACTATCGTGGCAGCACTGGCTTTACTCAGTTTCCCCTATGCACTGGTAACTCCTCAAAGGAAGGAGGTGGCATTTGGATTCCGCAAGTTCTCACTTGAAATATGAGATGCACGCTTTGCCTCTGCAGAAAGGGAGCTGGTAATGGACAGACGTTCACTGCCTTGCTCTCCCTGCCTTTTCGGTTAGGAATCAGCTTTGACCATGGTTTTGCATGTATTTACCCAGGATGTAACTGCATAGCACGAAGCCAGGGCTGATCAGATGAGCAGAAAGACCAGAAATGCACAGCTGTGCTGATACAGCTCTCTGACTCGGGGAAAGACTTGCTGTTTCTGCTCACTTGCTGCTTCTCTCAGTACAATTGTTCCTTTTCAGTTCCAAAATCCCAATTTCTGGAAGAGAAGGTGCTGTGTCTGACCATATGACACAACCATTCCCATCTGACAAACCCCTTTTCTGTAAAATATCAGCCAGTGCACATGGCAGAACGTGGCATTGACTGATGCCCAGACTCTCTGCTTCTATTAGGGTAGAAGAGAACAATGTTCAAAAGTAAGCTTCATCCCTGCCCTATTTTGCAAACAAAGAAGAAAAAATAGCTTGTACAATTCCCTGAGTTTGGGCTTGAGAGAGACCCACCAAAACTACACATCCTATGTGTTTTGTTTGTGCTTATAGCTGTTTGTGTTTTCAGAACCTCCATCTCTTCTGAAAAACAAAGAGCTGACCTTTGTGCATTGCCTCCATAAAGCACTCATGGTTGAATGCTGGTGCCATTCGAGTTGCACAGTATCTGTCTTGGCTGATCAGGTTCCCCTCTCTTCCTCTCTGGTAGTTTCATTTTCTGTCACCACAGAGGTAGTGTTCTTGCAGGAACTGTACACAATGTGACAGTCAAGCAATGGATGTCAGTGCGAACAAAAACTTACATATCTTTCAGGACATCTGAAGAGAGAGGTAGTAGGGTTAGAGAGCTTAGTAAGTTCAGGTAAGTGTATTTTGGAGGGAGTAAAACACACTCAGATGATTGACATTTCCCTCTCTCTGCATCTCAGTATGGTCTATTGGAGAAGGAGCTCCAGAAGACGCAGAAAAACGCGATGACTCCCAAAGATCCACTTTATTTGTCGAAAAACCTCAGAGCGGTTCGGTGAGCGTTGGTAAGTGCTTAGAAAGAAAATCAAAAGCCAATCCCAGAGAGACAGAGACTGAGGCAGAGCCCGGAAAGGCACGTGCAGTTCCTGTGACACTCAGCTTCTGCCCTCAGCTGCAAGTACTTCCATGGGTTTTAGTTGGAGCAGAACTCCACTCCTTGAAAGTAAAAAGGACTGCATGCAGAGAAGCAAAAACCAATTGTTCAGTTCAAGACAAGCTCACAGTCTAATAGTTTACTGAGCACAATGGGTGAGAGTTATAGTTTCTGGAGAAGAGATGTGGTTATGGTGATGCTGTTGGCTGTACAGTTACTGATGTGTCAGGAGGATCTGCTCAGAGGCCTGCAGCACGGCTTAGAGATTGCTGGGACAACCTTTGTACCCTACAGCTGCGTGTAGATTAGGAAGCAGACTCATTGGACCATCTCTGTAGGGAAGTTGCTCAGGTCACCCCCACTGTAACTCTTCTGGGGGATTTGCTCTGGGCGAGCTCTGGCTCAGTCCAGTGCTCTCTATACTTATGAGCAGTTCGAGCAGAGGTGGCAAAGTCTCAGAGCACGCCTTTGGTTTTAATTTCACCCCAGAGGAATCCAGCTCCAGCACTGCGAGGACTTTCTGAGTTGTGAACCAGAGCATAGTAAATGGGGGCAGTTAGGAGGTTCACTCCCAACCTGCATCCTGAGACATACTGTCGTGGTATGGTAAGCCAGAAAAGCAGGGTAGCAGCAATCGTGAGCAGCTCAGTACGGGCTGCTTGATATGTCTGTTGTGTACTTGGATACCCTAAGATATGGTCATATGGCAGGGGTTTATGCATGCCTATGATTTTTCTCAGTTTCTGAGTAGAAAAAGAGCATTTGGGGAGGATTTATTTGGAAAATAAATATAAGGAGCTAGACGTATTCTCCTCTGGAGCCCATGAATGTTAAGATGATAACACAGCAAGGACTGGGCAGTGGTGTTCTGAAAATTGAGCTAACTTTTCCTATTCCCAAATTATTATTTAGAGAAGACTCTTTCCCCTTCCTTCTCAGCTTAAAGAATTAATCACAGAAATGCATGAAGAGTTCCAGGCTTTCTTTTCCAGACTGGAGTTTATTCATATTACAGCTGCCTGGTAGCCTAGGAACACCTATGCTTGTTTTAAGCAAGGAAATTCAAATATTGGGAACAATTCACCCATGACAACATGGGGTTTTGCCTCAACTATTTTATCCTTCTTCTCAGTGTCTCAAGCTCCACACTGACATGGGCAGAAGGCTTCCAGACCCAAAATCGTTAATCTAACACTGCAGCACTTTCATAGCCTGTGTGACTCCATCTGATTCTTACTGTTGTGTTAGAGTTAGCACATGGAGACTGGGAGGAGCAGTAGTAGAAGATATTGTACAGACGTGACTGAGCAACCACATGTTCCTCATTGACTGCATTATTCTCTTCTCTTTTTAAAAGGCGGGAATATTACATTTATAGCCAAAGTAGAAGCCAAAGATCTTCTCCGAAAGCCAAATGTTAAGTGGTTTAAAGGCAAATGGATGGACCTGGCCAGTAAAGCGGGGAAGCATCTGCAGCTGAAAGAGTCTTTTGAGCGTCACACTAAGGTGTGTATTTGCTTTTCTTTCTTACAGGGGCAAAGCTCCAAACAGAGTTTAAAGATCAGTTTAAGACAGCAGGTAGAAATTCAAGAGCAGTGGATTCTAACCCTGGCTCCCCCATGCAGATTTCGGTGATGATATCTGACCCCACACAGAAGCAGACTTTTCTGCTCTCTCAGCACAGGAAAAGTAGTGGTGGGGAAATGAAAGTTTTCCGTTGCCATTTCTGGGCTCCAGTTTCTTCCCAGAGCCATTTATTTGAGTTATTCCTTGCTCCTGGTTTAGGTCTGAAAGACTAATCTTTTAACTTCTGCTTTATGCAAGTGTGTTCCCCACATTAATGAAATTATGTTTGATTTTTAGATTCACACATTTGAGATGCATATCATTCAAGCTAAACAAAACTATGCAGGGAACTATCGCTGTGAAGTATCTTATAAGGACAAGTTTGATAGTTGCTCTTTTGACCTTGAAGTCACTGGTAAGATGACACTTGTGTCTGTAAACTTTTATAAAGATTTCTTTTTTTTTTTTTTTTTTTTTTTTACCTGAAATGCCACTTAATTTTGTTCAGAACATTTAAGTGAAGTAATGTTTAAAGTGAACCTTTTTAGCATAGAGCTCAGATAATTTTCTTAAGTGTCTGTAATTTATTGTTTAAATGAACATTGGGATAGATAGCATGTAAGACATTTATCCAAAAATTAGAAAAGCTGGCAGATAAAACTAGTATTGAATGCAAATCAGGCTCTGGCACACAGGACAGAGAGCTGAGCTCAGGGCTGTTCAAAGGGCAAGGCTTCATCTGGCAGCATCTGAGCAGAGGGACAAGGAGTGGTCATGGCTCAGCAGCGCTTTGCACCCTCATGGTACCATCACACTCCAGAAAGCTATTTCTTCCACTCTTCATCAAAATTCAGAATAGCACAATGTGCAGAGCACTGGAGAGTCATGCCTTTGCTTACTTTGGCGTTGTAAAAGGCCTTACCCTGGCAAACGTTCTGCTTTCCTTCGAGAGCAGTTCTGCCAGACAGCAGTGCCCGCATACCTGCACGATCGGGCTGAGGAAGATGGATTTCTTCCGACATGCCAGGGCCAGCAGCCAGTGGACAGAATAGTTGCTCGCCCTGACAAAGCACGCCTGCTGAATGGCCGGGGCTGGGCTGTTTGTCCAGCAGTCGGGGGCAGCCGCTCACGGCTGAGGGGACGCTCGATGTCTGAGTGGCAGCCCGAGGGGCAGAGGGACGTGTGTGCATTTGGAGGGGCCAGCCTGGCTGCATCCGCTCACTGCCGGTGGATCAGAACCGTTTGACCTGGTTCAGGCTGGCACAGATGCGTAACTCACACCAGGGGGATTCGTCCTGGCATCGGGGACCGTCAGGAGCCTGTGGCTGCAGAGAAGACTCTTTCCTCTGATGTTGACCATACTGCGAAAGTGCGAGACGCAAGCAGGAGGGAAGGTGCAGGAATGGGAAGACAGAAAGGCCAGAGCCTGAGTGTAGGCGGGGAGGGGACTGGAGAGAAACCTCACAGAGCCAGATCTCCTGTGCAGAACTGCAGAAAGAAGCTAGTTTAGAGAAATTCCTTAATTAAACTTAGCTTATCACTGAGCAGCTCTGCATTTATCAGAACTTACTGCCAAAGGAGCAGCACAAACCATGTTACCTTAGCAGGAAACCGAACAAATGTCATACGCCAAATTACACTGATTACATCAATTACATCACTTTTAAATGATGTTTTTAATTTCTGTGATACTGTTGTTTCATAGAATCTTCCCAAGCTGCTCCATCCATTGACATCAGATCTGCTTTCAAAAGAAGGTAACTTTGAACAGTGATCCTATGAAGCTCCTCAGGAATGGAGGCTGGTAGCACACACTGAACTTGCATCAGTCTAAGCAGGCAATTGTATCGAGTACCTTAAAAAAATGGTTTTGTAAACAAGGTTAAAGAAGTGGGGTTTAGGGTAGTTGGTAGTGGGTAGAATGAAATAGTTATAACACAGAGACAGTATATATGATATTAAATACTGTGAAATTACAGTATCATTGTTTTAAGGGAAGGTGGAATATTTAAGGAAATTAAATATATGCCTTTTTAGACATTTTTAAAATTGTATTTTCATTCACTAAAACATTCTACTGCATGTTTCCTGAAAGTTGTCAGCTACAATATGAAAGTTCCTGGTCCCAATCTTGTACTGATTAAAAGCAGAGAGAAAATTCATGCTGATTTCAAGAAGATAGGATCCGGCTTTATGTTATTGTACAGTAAAAAGTGTGTCATAAGGCCATCATTATGGAAAAACTACAAATAATATATTGCAGAGGACATAAGATAAAGCATTGTTTTAAGTTTTGTTACCTTTGTGATAAAACAGTAATTTGAACCAGTATAGATGTCATCTTTATACTTATGGAGAAAATTGTCTAACAAGAGCAGAAATATTCAGAATGAAAACGTCTTACAAACAGAAAATGAATGCAGTCTGTTAATTTACACATAAACGCAAATCTGTGATTCAGAAGTAACTACTTTTATTTAGAGGAATTTGATTTAAAGAGCAAATGCGAAAGATAGTACATTCAAGGTGCACTCCTTTCTTGAGCACATTTTTAAAAAACTGCAATAATTATTCTGCCCAAGAAGATGAGGATATCTGAATATTTGATGATTTTCTAAGTAATACCCTGCATGCAAAATCTGGGATGAAATATTGGCATCAATTGACTTAACATTTGAAGGATTTTGCCCTTTTTACAAATATTAAGGGCAATTCTTTTGTTTATATGTGCTTTGTAATAAGGTATTACTGCTTAAGGTCACATTATAGAAAGAAATGCACCTTCACGGGACTGTGATTCTGTCTGTAAAAATGCACAATGTACTGTTTCTTCTTTTTTTAACTGATTTCTCCCTTCATTTAGAGAAAGGCTAAATCTTAAGTGTAATGCTTTGCAATCAGTATTTGACACAGCCATGCATTGTTAAAAGCACCACCCAGCAATGCAAATCTTTGTTTTACATTCATAGCAGAAGATCAGCACAAGCCCTTTGTTTTTATACATAAACACTATGGAAAGGAAAAACAAAGTTCATTGTGTTGACTAGACTACATTTATTTGTGTTACTGAAATCTAACGCAAGTCTTGGCAAATTTATGTATGCAGTTACAAAAATTTGTCATCAAAGTATAATAGCAAGCAATACAAACCTTTGTGTTATTTTTCACAAGTGCCTAAGGAAACATAATTTGTGTGAAAAAGAATACAGGTTTGTGTTGATTTTATACCATTATTTGTGTGTTTGGACAGTGTTGAGTATATGAGACATGTAGAGCGTTTGCAATGTGTGTTGTCTAAGTCTTTCTGTATTAAACAAAGATTTGATCTTTTTCTATTAATAACAGCGGTGATGGACAAGACGATGCAGGAGAACTTGACTTTAGTGGTCTCCTGAAACGTAGGTGAGAACCAAGTGATGCAGTGAGCAGGTGTGGATTGCAAACCATTAGGTTCGCACACAGAAAGAGTCAGGTGTAGCATTAATAACTTCTTAAGAATTTTCTGACCTTTCACTTTTTTCAATGTTTCTAACTATTGTTCTCATAGTATAATATGCAAATGTTCAGTTAATTGTACGTTTAAGTGTGCAGAAAATAAACCTCAGGTTTGAGTGCACTGGAAAAAGAGTGAGCCACAACATAAAGAGGCCAATAACATTTAGTTCACTTGCTATTTTTTTTGTGTTTGCATGGAGGGCAGAGGGGGACAATTTCCTACACAGGGATGAGCAGTTCAGAAAATTGAGCCTGGTGCAAGAGTTAAAAACTGCAAGAGTTAAATTCACCTCTTTGGATATATCTTAATTTGATTTTATAAACATCCTGACACAAAAAATCATATATCATGATTTCAGACCATAGACATCGGTATTAATTCTTTGTAGCTTTCTGTTTCATTATGTGCACACAAATGTTCAATGGTGTTTTATTCAACTTAAATGCTGTGACAGAGAAAAACTTGGGCACTTATTTCTCTGATTTGACTTGAAAATCTGGCATTGTGGTAGTTATGCCTCTCGCTATTTGTTTAGTCTTTTAACAGGTTAAGACAAGACAATTAAATCATCATTTTTTTAAAATTTATCAAAGAAATTATACATGCCATGAAAATCAATGGCAATTGACCACAGAGAATAGGAGAAGGAACTAGATCCTTTATCTCATCTACCACTTACTCTGAAAGAGGAAAACCCAATATGCAGTATCAATTACATAAAAAGTTCACAATGGGCTTACAAGTTGTGATGGTGAGGATAGTATTTAAGCAACTAAAACAAACAGGAAAGGCTGAAGGTAAAAGGAGACAGTGAAAGAATTACCTGAACCAATTCAAATCCACCAGGTCTTTGTTTTTTTAATCTTCTCATCCCTAATTAGGATCTTCAGTTTGACTTTTTATCATACTAACTCAATTTACCATGACAGTTCTCCTGACTGCCTGTGGGGTGTTTTATTCGCACCATGAGAGTCGCATGTAAGAGGTCTTGGTGTTTTTGTGGAAAGAGAGATGTGATTTAAGAGCCTTTATCCCTTCACTAACAAGTAACTCACATGTTTTAGAAGATAAATACTGTATAGCCATATGAACATAGTATACCTATCGTGTGGTTAATGGGCAAAGCAAACTTTTTTAAACACTGTTATTTAATATTGGTCAGATCAGTTCATCACCTCCTTTCTTCAGGCACTGAAATGCAACCTCATACCTCTGAGCTTAGCTGAGTAAGATTGCTAATTGAACCCCAGTGTGCATATCTATTTTTATGAAGACAAATACACATGTTCATTTAAATTTTTTCGAGAGGCAGTGTTGCAGGTGCATTCCTTCTCTTTTCTGTGGTTATATTACCAAGGAAAGAGCTAGAACTTTTCACCTGTAGTGCATAATACTTGAAACATGTTTTTTAAAAAAACCTAAATGCACAGAATCTATATACTGCCTGTTTTCTAATTTCGTGCTGGTCTTGCAGGAAGACAAACCAGTTCTTATCTCAGTAAGCCACTCTGTAACTGGTTATGCTTCATCAATGCAATGGATCAGTAATGGCACGAAATTCCAAAAGGCATGAGATTTCAAAACCACTCAAACATTTAGGTCCTTTTTTTAAAAAATGTACATCTTTCAATGAAATGCACATTTTCGGGGAAAAGGTCTGAAAGTGATTTTGTGGAGAGGTCAGTCTGCTTAGGAAATACCAGGCATTGTTTGCCCACTACTCACAGCAGAAACTATTGCGGCCTGAGAACAAAGCTGGTTTTCTCTGAGTGTCAAAATTTCTTCTCCAGTTACACAAGAACAACAACAAAAAAAAAAGAGCCTGGAATTAATTATTTCAAGCTGGTTGAAATTCAGGATTCTCTAACTGATCCTCATTCTCAACTACAGCCTGATTTAAAGGGGTACATTATCTCACCTCCCATGGAGTGTACCTCTCCTTAGTACAGACAGCTGCCCTGGGAGAGGAGAATGACACCCCATAACGTGTCTCAGCTTTTATATATGTTTGCAAACTGATCTCAACTTGCCACCGTGCAGAAAAAATCTCACTGAAACACCAGTTTTGGCTGAACACAGTCACCCTCCAGAAAGCATGAGCACAGATAAAAGTAAAAGCAACGAAACATAAAATTATATTCCTGAGACTCTCTGACAATAATTCTAAGATGACAATGTAAGTATTTCAAAGACTCCTCAGTGAGAAGCTTTTTTTTAAAAACAAACAAACAAACAAACAAACAAACAAACAAACACTGGTATATTATGAAAATTAATAAACCTCATGGATTAAACACCAAAGTGGTTTTCCATAGCTCTTCATCCAACCATGCAGAGAATCTTAGGGACCCACAGTGCTATTTCAGTACATGTTAAAGAAAATTCTGTCAGACTTGATAGACCTCAGCTCTAATACTGTCACACTCCAAAGCTCAGGTTTTTTTTTATTTCTCAACTGTTTATTTTCTCATTCTGTTCTCAAAAGTACTGATATCATTAGACCAACTAGATCAAATCAGAACAATCCTGGTCTGATCCTAATGGATTTGCAGGGAAAAATGTCTAGATTTCTGCTCCAACTCCTGTATTGTTCTAGCAGTTCACTTCTTTAAGCTAAGATGTCAATCTCAAAAAATATAATGTTGTTTAGGATGCTTCCATTGTTCTCTCATTTAATGGATGCCATTGTGAAAATAATTATATTTCTCTTTATTGACTGTCTTAGCCTGGAGTTGCAGATAGTAAACATGGTATTGAAACTTCTGTGTAAAGGTGATGCTATTCACACAGGCCTCTGAAAACACTTCCTGCTCTTAAGACTGAGAAAAATATGGAAGCCAACAAATCCATCTTCCAAGCCCAAGCTGGTGTGGAAATCTCCAGTTTCTACCCATATGCCAACTTTAAGTAACTCTGAGAAGCACTGGTGTTACTATAAACAGAACCGTATTCCCTTGGAATTCTTTCATTGGCCACACCTAATAGCAGTTACATGGACTCAGGATTTGAAAGAATTTTTATATAGTTCTGAAATGTACAGATTAGACTCAGATCTCGGTGGTGCCATCATAAATTGTAACTGATTCCACTCCAGATAAAACTGATTTAAGTGGGATTAGCCCATATGCTATTATAGTACTACATTTTCAAACTGTATGTTTGTTTAAAATAATGAAGCAATATAAAAACTCTCATAACTGATTACATCAGAAAAAAAGTAAAATTAAAATTTATATCCAACTTCTGCCTTGAAGAAATGTAAAGTAAGATATAAATGTCTATCTGAGCTATTCCACTCTTACTGAGTGAAACAAAAAAATACGATGGCAGCCTTCAAATTTTGATCAAAACATTTCTAACCTCACCATAGATTCACCTTCACCTTTTTTTTTACGGTGTGATAAAGCCTTGCTAACTCTTCTCCCATAATTTTATTTTGCTACTGCTAGGGAGGTTAAGCCACAAGAGGAAGAACCTGAGGTGGATGTGTGGGAGCTCCTGAAGAATGCCAATCCCAGTGAATATGAGAAGATCGCTTTTCAGTATGGTATCACTGACCTGAGAGGCATGTTAAAGCGTCTGAAGCGCATGCGCAGGGAAGTGAAGAAGAGTGCAGGTACGGATGAGGCAGGACATTCTCAGCTTCGGTAGTTAAACATGAGCGTCCACCTTAAAAACCCAAACTTGCTTCATTTCCATATAAGGGGATTTGCACACTACAACTCAAGCCTTACTGCTGCAAGCAGTTAATCAGAAGGTGGCTTTGGCCCGCTGTGCTTAGTGTAAACATCTTATCCCACTCAGTGCTTACCAAAAGTGTCCCTCCCTGTTGGCCAAGCAGTAGTTCCAACTGGAACAAAGTCCCCCGGCTGTGTGCAAAGGTGTTACCTGATCAAACAGTATGGAAATTAGACCTTGTCTTGGCATTAATATCTTTTGCTCTAAAACAGAGTCACTCCAAACAGATTGTTAGCTCTTTGTAACTTCATTTTGCATTTAACCTGACATTCCTCTGAAATCCTGCCTGCACTAAAAACCCTCCGCCCTGCGCTGGGTGAGGATATTCAGGCCTGGCTTTCCCCATCTGCCCTACTGAGTGGTACGAGTAGTGTAACACATACATAAATAAAAGTATGTGTCTATATGTATGTGTATATAAAATAGAGGTATATGTTGCATAAGACATATACACACACTATCCATTATATTATTGTAGCAGTTGCTTGTTCCTGGAGAGCATTTCAGAACTGGATGCAATATATACACCCAGTGTTCCACTGGTTTCCTGGAGGAGTCCCTTTTGTGTAGGTGAAATCCTCCACAAACGCAGGTGTACTTCAGCTCCCTGATACACCTTCTCTCCTGATCTATTGCCTCACATCGTAACATGTGTTACGTTCCTACACAGTAATTTTTATCTACCTTTTTCATTTGCTGCTATATCTGATTCTGGCCACAGTTGAGAGAGGGAGAAAGGGAGCCGATGGGCTGTGGTTGAGCCACTGGAGCATTTTCTGTATCCAGAGGAGCTCTCTAAGGGTTTGAAGCCCAGGGAAACTCCTCACTTTCCCCCAGGCATCTGGAGCAGGGCTGGAAACTGGGGCAGGAACTGTGGGGCTGGCAGGAAGAGCTGCCCCCTCCCAGGTTGCATCACCTGGAAGTGCCTGACTTGTACTGGGAAAGGGGCAGCTCAGCACCTGGGACCAGTCTGTCTGGTTCTTATCCCCAGTTCCCTGTTGACTAGGATGGAGCTGCCAGCCGTATCGGGATTTTTCAGTGGACAGGGTTTTCCCTACAGGAGGGGCTCTAAATGGTGGGGAAAATGTCTACAGTAGTGAGAGGATGAAAGCAGGGTGCTCTTCCCCTCCCACCACCTTTATCATAAATAGGAAACTTTTACACTGCAACAAAACACAAAAGAAAATCCTTTTCAGATTTAATAACTCTACTTCTGTTTGTTGATATATTCAGTCTCCTGCAATCAGACATATGCATGATATAAACCTTAGCAGAAATTGATTACTTATTTGTGGGCAATTTGTTTGAGGCACCAGTTATTTATTTATTTTTGAGCCACAGATACCTGCTCCCCTCAGTCTAACTTTTATGGCTGGCAGTATCTAAATCTTGAATATCAAACTGTTTTGAAATGCTTGAGTTGCACTCGGCCTTACTTTGTCCAGAACTACTTGGCCTACACTTGCACATCTCAAAGAACTTTTTTGAAAAGCCCCATTAGGATTCACAGGCTGACAAATTTTGCCTGGTTTCAAATATTTTTGCAAATGATTTGCAGCTGTAACACTTATCACAAATGGAACTGCAATGTACAGCTTTCAACCTACGTAAAGAATCAGGAAAGATAATTTGGCTTTTTGACAAACCAATGTGTTTATTCTGATAGTGGGAAGCTCAGTAGGGATTTTGGCTTAAAATTCCCTGTTAATTTGTATGGTGGTGCTAATAGAGAAGTCCTTTGTTACAGGTTAATTGTAAATGATTCCATGACACCAGCTGTATACCATTTTATTCTGACACAGCACGTCTCAGCAAGCTGTCAGAGCTACGTCTACCCAATCCAATTCAGAATACAGTCACACTACAAAGGAATGAAGAGATACTAGCTTGAACTTGGTCAGGATATTCTGAACTGCATAGCTTTGCATTTATTCTATTGTTTCTAGAAAATAAACTGATTCATGTGGACTAGCCTATGAATACAGAGTGATGCATAACATTGTGTGCATGTAGGCTGACAGCTTCAATGAGAGTTATGCAATGTCATTTCAGCATTCATGTTCTTGTTTTCTGATCTTCATTTATTATAAAACTTGGCTTCCACAACAGCTTTTGCCAAAGGTCTTGATCCTGCATATCAGGTGGACAAAGGAGGCAAAGTGAGGTTCATGGTGGAGCTAGCAGATCCAACAGTGGAACTCAAGTGGTATAAAAATGGCCAAGAAATACGACCAAGTGCAAAGTAAGTGGTTTTATTCTATGTAAGCAATAAAATGGGTACACATGTGCTTCCTTGACAAGGGTGTTGCATAGATCTATCTCTTTGCTCAGGTTGCATCAATTTTCTGAATTTCATTATGTGTGAAAAGAATGCGAAAGATGCTGTATTGCTCATGACCCAGAAGAGTCCGCTGTATGCTAAATGTTAATGCAGATTGGCCCCTTTGCCTCAAGAGAAAAGAATTAAAGATCCTCAATAAAACATGGAGCCATTTACTACTCACTAGTTTTTGAAAAATCAGGAAGCACCGTGAGTAAATAGATCACTTGCCCTCAGCCCTATGTCCGAAGGAGGTCAGAATCTTTCTACAGTAATTGGGTGCTGAGAGCAGAGATGTTTAACATTGCATACTTACCCACCAGGCTCATAAACCACCTGAGAAAAGGGGAGCATTGTTTCTCTCACCTTCCACTACCCAGTTAATGCTCACTGAAGTCAACAACCTGCATTAGCTCAAAGTGACTTCAGTCATGTGCAACAGGTCCAGTGTAGCCAAGCTTCTTTGTCATCTGTGTCCCCTGCATGTTGGTTTACTCTCTGGCTGGGTCTAGAAGAAGGAGCTTTTCAGGTGCAGACCCTTGAGTTCAGGAAGAGCAATGGCTGGAAGTTGAGCCCAGTCCCTAATCTGGGAACAATCCACTCTTAACAACCCGATGCAGAAAATCCCATTCCACAGTCAGACACAGCTAGGAATGATAATGTGCAACCAATAATGCACAACAATGTCACATTCCTCAAATGTTTCTCGGCAGCACAAAGTCCTAGCAACTTTCTCCTCTGACTCTGTGAAAAAACAGTAATTAGCAAAAGCCCTCTTACAGGAAAGGGCAGATTTCCTTCATTCTGTTGCTGCACAAGTCAATGAAGGATTTCAATTAATATTTATATTTGACAAAAAAAGCATAATAAAGAGGGTACCTTGTCTTCATCCCCTATATCTGCCATGAGCCGTTCAGAACTGGTTTGCAGGCAGCTATATGGATCCCTCTCCAGTAGAAGGACTTGTATCGAATGCTCCGGTGCATTTCTTCCATGCTGCTGAAGCAGCTGTCAGATGCTAATGAGCTTTGGTCATTACAAACCTGGAGCAGATCTAAACTGGTGACATAAAGGTGAAAGGCTCCATATCCCATTACCACAACCCCATATCCCATTACTGATCTCTTGTGCCATCTGGCCTACCAATAATATTAACTTCTTAACTTCGGCTATTATTATACTTCACAAAAATGTTAAGAGTGTTGGAATGAGGATGGTGTCCTGTTACTGGTTATTTTCATCTTTACTCATCTAGAGTTTCAGAATCCATTTTATTTGACATCCTTCAGACTCTTCTAATTTTTTTTTATTTTTTCGTATCTCTAAAACCTGGGATTTTGAAACAAGCCAGAAGATGCTCGTTACCACTCTACACCATAGGTCTTTTTGCCAGAAGTCTATGACAGTTCTATTGAAGCAAGGAAATTTCTTCCCAGGACAATTTTTCCAGTTCCATGTAAAACCCAGGATTTTCACCTCTAATAATCCCTAAAGCACTTGCTACGTAAAACAAAAGGAGTCCAACAGTTTTGCTAATGTACCTTTACTGCATTCCTATTCAAACAGATACATTTTTGAGCACAAAGGTAACCAGCGAATTTTATTCATCAATAATTGTTCAATGACAGACGATGCTCGCTATTACGTAACAGCTGGTGATGAGAAATGCTCCACAGAACTGTTTGTGAGAGGTAACTACATAAGCTTCCTCCTATTTCACCTTCTGTAAATTGCTGTGGTTTCTTTGGCCGCAACAGAAATTAACAGGGAGGATCTGGTTCAGTATATTTTTGTATTCGTATTAGCAGCCCAGGATCACTCTGTATTTCCATGATTCCTGACCATTTTTCTCCTCGCCCTGTATTTAGTAATTTAGTGAAAACCCTGAAATGGAGATATAGTTGGTTTCATGCTGTGCATTGGGATCTAGTGGGGCTGTGGTCCCCTTCAGAGTTTTAAAGCCATTTTGGAGACTTGTTTGTCACAGCGTTGGCTTTGCCTAACGCCACGGTCGGGTACCCGATGACCCTGATACTCGTGGTCCAACTGATCTGTTTCAAGTACCCTCAGATCAGGCTTTCTATCAGTTAGTTTTTCATTCCATCTGCAAAGATTTAAGGGAAGACTCTATCAAAAGCAATGAATGGGTGACCCTTTTTACTCCCACAGTGCTTATAGTCTTATGGATGATATTCATGGCATTACTCACACATGCAAAACAAAACAAACAGAAAAGCAAAGCTTACAGTGAGAGGAAAAAAAAATCAAATATTTCAGAAAGCTATTTAAAACAGTGGAACCTATTGACCCTATAAATATCATAGGATAACTGTTGTAAAATCTCCTGCTATTAAACTTGAGTTTTGACAGTGGGAATGGGTTAAACCAATAAGGGCACCATGTTATGTCATCAGGCCATCTTAGTGTACATAACGGGCTACAGGACCTAATGCAAACACAGCTTTACGAGAGGGACGTGGGAGGTAAGAGGGGAATGTCAGCTTCTCATGTTGACCTGACTAGACAAACTGGCAATAAAACAGAATGAAAGGCAGGTATTAACCTGAACAAATGTTATTTTTTTATTTAGCACATTTCCTACTAGCATGTTATTAAGCAATGACTTTTCCGATTTAAGGCAGAAAAAACTGCACTGAGACTGATATTAGAATTTTAAAGTAATATTGTCTTCTGTAGCATGATTTTTGAAAACCTCTTTCACTTAGTTTTCTCTCTCAGATGGTAAATGTGTAATTTTCTCTTTCCAAAGATCCTCCAATTTTGGTGACCAAAGGCCTGGAGGATACCAACACTTATGTTGGTGAACGAGTAGAACTGAGCTGTGAAGTGTCTGAGGATGATGCAAATGTGAAATGGTAAGCCACACTTTGAACAGATACTATTTTCCTTGAGACTAAAACCCAGAACATTTTAATTTTAGCAAAACCATGGACAGCTTTTTCTATAGCAGTAAACCTGAAAATTGTTATTAAAATCTCAAGAAAACATTATTCAAAAATGTAGCAACAGCAAAGATATCCTTACACATTCACTGATGAGTCTGTTTAAACTTTTCTTGTGCCCTAAGTCTTACAAAGTCTTCTCTGGAAGTTTCAGACTATGGGAGTTTTATTTGCACAGAACTTCTATTGAAAAAATAATCATTCTTTGTTTCCCATTAGGTTTAGGAATGGTGTGGAACTTACCAATGAAGCTAAATCTCGGTATCGAATCAAGGTTGAGGGTAAAAAACACACTTTGATCATAGAGGAAGCTGCAAAAAATGACAGTGGAACTTACTCAGTAATGACAACTGGAGGCCAGTCAGAAGCCAAGCTTTCAGTTGACTGTAAGTATCATCCATCTTGATCTTGAATTCATATGATGGCACAGTTTACTATCTTACAGAAATAAATAACTTGCTTGCCTTTTCCTGGGGGTTTAAAGGGACACTTAACTTCCACACCAATTTCCTTGCTGCAAATCTCCAGAACAGTGACCTTCCCCTAGACACCGTTTGCAGTAACAGACAATGAACTAGTCCTGCGTGAGTACTTTCTGTTGCTCTGTTTAGATGGAGAACAAAGCTGTCCATCCGAAGATATAATAGGTCAACAAAGTGAAACTTTCAAGGGAAGTATCTGCTTTTCTTCAATCCTTTCAGGTTTTCACAGGAAAGCCAAACCAAGGCTTTTTAGCTAAAATCAGAAAAAAAAAAAAAAAAAAAAAGTATGATGGAAAAAATAAGCAGTTCTATAACTAGGCATACTGTTAACAGGCATCAGGGTCACTTGACCTGAACTCACAGGCACAAGCACATGACTATGTAGCTCCCTCAGTATATGTTTGTGCAGTATTGTGCCCAGTATTGTATGCGTTTTTTAGCAAAATGTACATGCCCATCCTCTAAAGTTATCATACATTATGTGTAAACATACACTGTTTTGTAATACTCATACTTCTTTTGACTATTTTCTACAAATTGGCATCCTAAGCATAACCAATTAATTCATGCTCTTCTGTTATCAAGTTGAAAATTATCCTCCATGGCTGAGCTCCGTCGTCTTTGCTTTCGTGAAACTTCTGAGGATTTTCCAACTGGTTTTCTATAAAACACTGCCTTTCTCACTGCTCTGTTTCCTATGTCAGATTATGGTCAGGGATATTTGCTGCATGCAGGTGGTACTGTGTGTTCAGCCTGGACCCTCATCTACAGCATCGAATCTTCCAGAAAGTGGAAATGAGCTGAGGCACCAGTTCTCAGGCTAAAGTTTTACAAAAGCTAGTAATATCTGTGGGTATTCATAGAGTGAGTTAAGGCAATATAGCAACCATGGGAACCAGTAGTGTATTAAGTTAAGCTTACTGTGCAGTCAGCCTTTGCCAGCAGCCTGACAGAACAGGTTGAGCTGAAGTATAGTCCCACTTGTGATTAAATACCTTGGTAAGTCTCCAAATTATCTTGGATCAGCTGGGAGAGCTATGAGATCACAGGAAGGGTGGGTTGTAATCCCTTCTAGTGCACAGGATTCGGGACACAAGCCTTTCACTTCTTGAAATTTCTTACTGGACTCTGGGGGATAGAAATACTCTACCTCCAGCATCCAAACACCAGAAAGGTGGCAGCATCCAGATTATGCTTCTGAGCTTAGTTCTTCTACTGACAGCATCCATGGAGTTTCCCCAGTCGTGGCATGGGTATTTTCAGTCACCTTTTCTAAGGCATCAGACCACATGTAGCTTACCCGTACTGGTATTTCTACATGAGAACTGTATTATCGGAGGCATTTTTCTGATCTGAAGACTACTGTGATGGCTAGTGGCAGCTCCGTGACAAAACCATGAGCTATTGGTTGATATTAACATTAATGTCTCTGCCTCTGTTTTCCTAAGTGAGACCACTGAAGATATCACTTGCACTACAAGACCAGACTGTGAGGCTTGGACAGGAAATTCACCTGAAGTGTGAGATATCTGAGAATGTGGAAGGAAAATGGTACAAAAATGGGCAATTGGTCGAAGCTAGTGACCGTGTAAAGCTTTATCACAAAGGAAGGTAAGCCTGTTGTGTATTGACTTGACTTTGATGGAATGACACTGTAGCAATGTGCCAATATGTGGGTTACTTCACTGAAAATTACCTGGTAACCAGACCTAACCTCTGTCCTTCAAACATATTTATTTTTATCATCCTAAAAGCCTCCTTGTCCCCTTTCATCTTGTGCCTTTTGGCTATGGAGGACAATATTCAAATCCTTGATTCATCTAAATTCAAGCTATTAATTTTTCTTGACATTGCTGTTGCTGTTACTATGGGATGTTAAGTAGTAAAGTAATTATTAGACATTATCAAAAATATATAGCTTTTAAATGTCTGTTTTCCTGATAGCTTCCATTCATGTCAACTCAGACCACGTAACTCTGCCCATGCAAAGTATGTGGAGATATCAGGTCCCTTTGCACTTATAATCTGTCCTTTTTCATGGAAAGTTTGTCAGTTAAAAAACAAAACAAAACAAAAACAAAAAACAGGTCCTATCTTTAACTACATCCCCTTCACTTCAGCTTAGCAGACTGTTCATACAGTTGAGAAATGCACTTGTGAAGATGCTCTTAAACGGGCTATGAAAATGTTTGCATTGACTCCATAATGCTCGTTAAGTTGCAGTAAAAGACAAGAACCCGCTGTGCAATGACCTCTTGGATTGACATAAGGTGAAGGTGCTCCCTATAATCCATGTAGGTCCACAGGGTGAGGTGAGGGAAAGGGGAGCAGGATGGGCACAGAGGTGAGTCCTACCTTGAACAAAGCTTAGCCAAAGCAGGTCATAGGAGAGCAAAAATATCATACTGGAAGACACAGTTAGATAGTAAGAGCAGCATATGCTTTGCTCACCCATTTCTATATTCTGGCAAACAAATAGTAGATTGGATCCTGTCACAAAGATGGTCTAACAAAAGTCAGATTATTCCCACAATGGGATCACCTTAAGATTTCTTCTTGAGCAATCAAACTGCCATCTAATGGCAGCAGCACAGAATCTGTGTCAAAGAGATTACACTCCTGTATTTTTCTACTTCTGTGCTCAAACAATGTTAGAATTGGTTACACTATTTGGTGTTAGTCTCAATAACATTTTGAACAAATCATACAGTATTTTAATCAGCTAAAATACCATTAAGCAGCCAGCAAGGATTTTTAGTCAGTAATTTTACATACTTGCACAGATCTCCTAAACCTTTGACAGATTTTTCCTTTTAGCTTCAAGCAGTCTTCAAAAATAAGTTACACTGATTTCTTTTTAATTTTTTTACAGAATCCACAGATTCGTTATAGCAAGCGCTGCTGTTGATGATGAGGGTGAATATATGTTTGTACCAGATGCCTACAATATTAATATTCCATGCAAAGTACATGTTGTGGGTAAGTATATGACACAATGACTTACATATAACATCTTTCTTTGACCTTTGCAAATTCAAAGCAGTGTGAAATACCCTTGATTACAAACTGTTCCTTCTGAGCAGGCATCTGCCAGAGAAAACAGACCTGCTGTTTTGGCAACATGCAAGTGAACGTGTCAGAGAGTGCTTTGCCTGTGCTCAGGATCTGCTCATACTTTACAAGCCTGGGAGAGCTCCCAGGAAAGGCTTCTTGATGTTGAATTCCTAAACCTAAATGACTATTAAGGGTTTTTGTAAAACACCCATTGCTATCCTCTTTTCAGGTATAGTGTTGTCTTTGAAGAACTGGCTTACTGGCATTGCAAAGCGTGACTTAGTTTGATAAAAGATTAGTAGAACAGGTACATATTTACCTATTCCCTAAATACATTAAATGGTATCTAGAGAGCAATATGTTTCTGGTCAGCTTTTATTCACTCAGCAAAACAGAAGACTTGTTAATTATCCTGGTCCTTCAAATAAAACCAAAACAAGGCATTGACTCTTCCCACAAAAATGCCTCACTGGCAACCAGCAACTTGGAAGTCAAAAGGAGAGAAATATAAATGACCAAAGTTTTTGAAATTATGTTCTGTAATTGAAGCTGAAAGAAGTAGGATATCTGTGTTAGAATAAGTATTGGCAAGGTTTAGGAAAAATGAAGAGGGGAGGGGTATGCTCACTGGTATAACTTTCAACACATCAGAAAAAATTGTAAGAGGATATTCATCAGTTGCTCTCCATACACATGGGGTGCAATAAAAGTGACCATTTCATTTTCAGAAAAAGGATTTGAGTTAAGAAAACTTTTAAACTATAAGAACAGTGATGTCTGAAACACAGTAAAAGGTGTTATAGAAAGCCTAAATTCTCAAGAGCCACTTACAGGATAACTATCTCAGAAGCCTCCTGAATACACAGAATTCTGCCTCAGGAAGATAGATTTTTTTTTTTTTTTAATGGTCCTACTATTCCAAAATTTCTATGGTGCCATGATTTATTTTTCATCAGACAACTATTTTCCTAAAAAGAAAAAAAGAAATTTTCTTCACAAATTTTCTTCCAAACAAAAAATCATTTGACTAAAAATACCAACAAAATACAAAACATAGAGCATGTTTCTCTATGTTGCAGACTTGTGCCAGGTCACTGAACTCTCAGAGTGGCAGGCACATGGCAAATTTGGACAATCTCTCCTTTTTCAGATCCTCCTAAACTCCACCTGGATGGTCTTGGGGAAGGTAACACTGTGACAGTAGTGGCAGGAAGCAAACTACGACTTGAGATCCCCATCACTGGCGAGCCAACTCCAAAAGTCATGTGGAGTAAAGGGGACAAGGTACATTGTCATTATACATGTTTCTTCAGCTTACCAAGCGGCCTTTTCCTTCAAAAAAATGACCTTTAGCCTTGTGAAGACATTGATTTTAATGGCAGAAAATAAGGAGATGCATTTTATCTAAAAAACTCTCCTCACTCAAAAATGAAGAGTAGAATGGATAAATATTATTTAGTATCTTTTGGGTATTTTTGAGGAAAGGCTGAAGCTAATGAAGGAAAAAAATATGGATTTGCTATAAATAAACTGTAAAGGAGAGGGATGTATGAGATAAAGAAGAAAACCAGTGAAAATCTACCAACTGGCTACTTCTTCTGTACATACTGCCCGGAATGGCTGCCAGGTTTTGACAGGAAGCTATGGTATGGTTTGGTTTTGGAAAATGAATGATAAATTCTGATGGAGTGTCAAGTCTCGAATGAAACAATAGGCTGGGCAATTAGTGGCTTGCATCTGGTGTCTTCATGCAACATTTTGCACAGCTCAAGCCCTAGCTGTGTAATAACAAAAAGCCACTTTTCACATTTAAATTTTCATTGTGGTACGTGGAAGCTGGAACATATTATTACTGGATTTGTCAGACCTGTTTACTAATAGTCTGACTACTGTTTTTCAAATATTAATTATGGCATCACCACTGTGGACTTGTCCAAATAGGGAATTATTCTAGGAGAGCTCTTACTCGAAAGTATGTGCCAGCATTTGAAATCTGTGAGGACAAACTACTGGCTATTACAATCACTCTGACCTTTAAACTGAACAAATTACATTTCAGTCTGACTTTTGAGAGAATCCACTACTCTCAATCAAATTAATGACCGGTAATATTGACAACAGCATGTTCTTGCTCAAAGGACAAGTAAGCCTTGTGCCTCTTCCTTAGAGATGCAATGGCTGAACTGAGTACTAAACAGTTACCGTATTTTGAAGTTATTTATTTGCCCCTCATTTATTTTGTCATTTTTGTGATCATTAGGTGACTGAAATTCTGAGCTTTAGAGTGTTTTTTCTTACAGTTGCTTTAGTATTCTTGCTGAAGTGTCCTGTACTGCATTTGGATTTTGATCTTTGAGCATTTTGATTCTCAAATCCAGAAAATATGACTTTTCCCTCTGCTTACTTTGATTCCTAGTGGATCACAGACAGTGGAAGAATACGGGCAGAAACCTATCCAGACAGCAGCTGTCTGGTCATTGATGCAGCTGAGAGGGAAGATTCAGGTCCTTTCAGAATAGCATTAAAGAATGAGGCCGGAGAGGATACAGCTCTAATCAACATTAAAGTGGTTGGTAAGTCATGTGGAACAGTGCGTATGAACCGTGTCTTATGACAGCCCTTTTCAATAAATGGTCATTGAAGAACCCTACTCTTCTGCACCCCAACAAGGGAAAAATTCTTCTTCCTCTATCTGAAGGGTCTCCTCTGTAGATGCTGTCCTCCCTAGCTATCAAATTGTTGTAGATTCTCAGAAAAATTCCATTTCCCTGTTTGCCCCCATTTTCAAATGTGGAATTGAGGTGCAAGGATATTGAAGTCCAGTGTTACTGAAGGACACAGGGGCTTAGCAAGGGATTTAAGTAGGAGTTAATTATTACCCCACTGCCACCTCACACTGCAGGGGACAAACTTGTGCAATTGCCTGCAGCTGCCCTTAACACTCTCCGTTCTCCCTTCTCCATGTGGTTGTGGCCTCTGTCTTACCACATGGCCTCAAGTGCCTCTCAAGTGTCTTGACTGTGCTGAAGGGCTTGGCATTTATCCCCCCCAACCACCTGCCAACATCCACAAAGACCTCCTTTCTCTCTGTCTCCTCATGAGGAACTTCTGTTGCACTTCAAAAACTATTCAGATGTATTTCTTATTTGACATTTTTTATTTCTACCTATGCAAAACCAAGAAAGTTTTGTTTTGTTTTGCTTTTTAAATAATATTTATTTTGTTTACAACAGATGTTCCTGATCCTCCTCAGGCACCAAATGTGACTGAGGTAGGTGAAGACTGGTGTGTTATGACCTGGGAACCTCCAGCAAATGATGGTGGATCACCCATCTTAGGTACATACTTTTTTTTTTGGTGATGCTCTAATATAGAGAAAAGAAAAAAAAAAAAAAAAAAAAAAAGTAATCGACACCATCGGATCAGAGTTTAGCTCAGGCTCTGGAGAGATTTGAGTATCTAGTTGCAAGAATGTTTTATTCGATCTTTGACTTTATCGGATACCTGTTTTCCTGATTCTTTGAGATTTGTCATTTTGTACATTGTCACATTATCAGCCCCCTCTGCTTGAAAGACAACCTCTTACAATACCAAACTCTGAACAGTTAGCCTGTTTGAATGTTAGGAGGAATTTCATAAACAATTTACTGAGTAAACTGGAATATCTTCCAACTCACTGAACCAAGAGGAAAGTCAGAGGGGCCCAGAGGCCAGCAGAATCAGACCCTTTTCACTCTGAACTAAATACAACGGTATCGGAAAAAAAACCTCATACATGGGCGTGAAAGCCAAACAGGTGACTACCAGATAGCTTGCAATTGGAAAAATTTAACAATAACCCCTGAACCACACTGAGGCTAGAAGGGGATATTGAGGTGTGCCCAGAAAAAACATCACTGAGCAGTCAAAAAATTGACCCCTCACTATTGAGCTTTATGCCACCACTTATTACAACAAAATTTTGTTTGGTCAATAGGATATTTCATTGAAAGGAAAAAGAAACAAAGCTCCAGGTGGATGAGGTTGAATTTTGAACTGTGCAAAGAAACAACTTTTGAGCCAAAGAAGATGATTGAAGGTGTTGCTTATGAGGTCCGTGTGTTTGCTGTTAATGCGATAGGCATTTCCAAACCAAGTATGCCTTCAAAGTCTTTTGTTCCTTTAGGTAAGTAATCAAGAGTATAGAGATAAGTATGCATTCAGAAAATTATCATTAATATATTATTACAGTCATTTAATTACATAACTGTAGTTGTGTGACTCGTGTTGCTCAGGACCTGTCTTTATTAGGTGCTACGTAAACAATCTGTGTCTACCCCTAAAGGATTTGTAGTCTTTTATCAGCAAGAAACAAGGACATAAAGATGCAAAAATGGTGCATTACAATAAACAGTGACATGCTACGGGTGAGCCTGATACGGTCAATACTATCATCAGTATGTTTTAAGGACCAGAACTAATAGTTCCACATTTTTGTCTATCACTGGTACCTCCTGAGTCAATAGAGTCAAACTGTTTCCAGTCAAGATGACAATTTAGAGAACTGTTAAAGATGATGGATTAAAGCCTTGGTTGTTTCATATGTCTCTCTCCTGCTATACATTCAGTCAGTCACTGGCTTTTGGCCAAAATGGTCAGGAAAAGTGGCCAGAAGTCTAAAGATCACTATTTTCAGGCTACACTGTATGAAAATAAGACTTTCTTTCATGTTTCACTACTTACACTTTGCTGTTATATAGTAGATTGCCATTTTAAAATGTACAAGTACTCACAAATAATCTATATATTTCAATTTAAAAAAAAAATCACAGGTATACGATCTATCATAAAAGTAGAAATCTATGGAAAAAATTAAGTGAATGAGTCCACTATTGTAATAACTCATATGACAATTGTCTCTAATTTCACTCTATGCCTCATGGATCCCCATTAGCAGTCATAGGGTCTTTTTTCCCAGAAAGTGATCACATATTTTCAATATTCTTTTGCAGAAAATCCAGATTAGGCTAGGTCACATTTTATACTTTTCTACGTGTTACCTTATTGCTTTATATTAATGTAACAGATAGACGGCCTTGCCATTCACCTGGTGACAGACTAATCTGGTGACCTTTTCATATAAAGAAACAGATTTTCAACCTGTTGTGACAACCACAAGTCCCTATAAAAGAAAGGTGTCTTGTTCTGTAGTCCAGCAAAGGTTTCCACCTTGCTCAGCACCACCCGCAGAGGATGAGGAAGAGGGTGGCTGTTTCTGCTACAGCATGTTCTCTTGCTAGAAAATACCTGCGGTTGTAGAATACGTTACTTGCAACTTCTCTGTTCTACCTTCCACCTCTCTTCGTCCTCCTCACTCCTCGTCAGGACTTTAATTCTGGGTTAAGATGTGAGCAGATTTGGGATGAGGTACCTGCTTCTCCTCGTTTGATCCTAATTGGGAAAGACGTGCCAGGGGCGCTTGGAAATGCCTGGGCATCAGGATTTAGCCTGTCGCCTGTTATGCTAAATTAGTGGAATACGCACCATAAATGTAAACCTTTGATTGTAACACAGTTTTCTGCCTTCTCCCCGCTGTCTGCTTGCTTCAGCTGTTACCAGTCCACCCACTCTCCTGGCAGTGGATGGAGTGACCGATACCTCCGTTACGATGAAGTGGAGGCCACCAGACCACATCGGCGCGGCAGGCTTAGACGGCTATGTTGTAGAGTACTGCTTCGAAGGAAGTAAGTGACAACGACTGTGGTATGTTACTCATGGTGAAAGTAGGTGAGACATTCTCCATTTTTTTCCTCTGTGGGTATCAGGTGCTCTCACTTTAAGGCAGAGACTATTCAGTCAGCAGCAGGGTTTTGTTCAGGATTCCTTTGGTTTGTATTCCAGATCCCACCCATTGGTTGTAGTTCAACCCATTTTACATTTGATCTGAAATCTACATCAAATGCCATATCATGTGTTGTAGTGTACCACGTACCATGTTAACTGCTATCCTCTTTTTTGAGCTAAATGAAGAGTCAATTCAGTAAAGAGTGGATGAATGAATAAGAAATAATGAACGGCTGTAAGTGTGGTCCAAAATATGTGCAGGTCAATTGCATTTTAGGGACAGGAGGTCCTCAGCGTGGTAATCCCTATCTTGACACACTACTAATTGGCTACTTCAAGTGCCAGTTCCCAATACTGAGGACAGAGAGCCTCTCCAATAGCTGGCCATAGAAGTTATCTAGGCATGCAAAGTTCATGTCTGGATATTGAATTTCTCCAATGTTTCAGTGTAGTTAGATACAGGATCTTTAGCTGTGTCCATCTAAGACATGAATCTACACAGAACTGAAGGAAAAAGATAAAGATGTAAGAGTCTGAATAAATTTATGAGAGTAAGAATAACAAGGAATAGGGAAATATAATTTATATTTTGCAACTAAGAGTCTGTGGTGATCAAGCAGCAGAAACAGTATTTTCCAGCAGATTTTCTTCTGAACTGTCATCAAATGAAGTCTATTTTCAAAAAGTGATATCCACCAACACCTGGGTAAGTATCAATTAGCCTGGAGTAGTATATGCAATACTCAGCCTCTGTGGGCAAAGGCGAACCAGTGGAACTGCAGCAGTGTTGAGTATTTCAGCGAATGGGACAAGGTAATCTCCCGCTCCGCTAGCTGCTGCTCCTAACTGTGCTGCAAAACAGCTGATGAGGTGGACACCTTTTTTCATAAAGGCATTTATTTCAATGAAAGCTTTTCATGAATGCAGTCCGCAGCCTGGGGACAAGAGGTAGAGGACAGAGGTTGTGATTCACACTGTCACGTGTTTCAGATTCAGATAACCCAGGAAAACAGTAGCGCACAAAAGTGGTCAGATACCACGGGAGCAGAGTGCCCTCGGCTCTCACGCGGGACAGTGGGAGAGGGAGTGAAGAACCACCACTGGCTTTTCTCAGGAGCACTCAGCATCTTGTAGTGTTGAGCTGAGTATCTGTAAGGAGCAGGAACAGACTGCAAGCAGCTCGGAGGTCTGGAGAAGATTACCTGAAGGCAGGCACAGCTGGAATGGTAGGAAGGGTTTTCTTTGTATGTTGGGAGGGAGCTGCGGGAACAGCTCAGAAGGAGCAAGCATGCGGGCTGACATCCAGGTGCCGCATTCCTACGAGGTTTCCATCGCAGAGGCAAGGAGTGTGGGAATATACAGGGGACGGTCAGCGAGAGGACTTCAGTGTTTGCTGTACCCTGGGCTCTGTTCGGCATCGGTAGGGTGGTGGGGGAAAAGTTAAAAACTCCTTGACATTACAGCATGTGATATCCAAATTAAGCGACAAAAGAGGATGAGAAATATATATATTAGTGCAAACTATGGTTTTCAGAGAAATATTCCAAATCTATCTTTTACGGACTATTAGACAGAACATCGTTGCATACTTGTTGAAAGGAACAAATTCTTTACTTTTTTTTTTTTTTCAGATAGGTTTAAAACATATGAAGATACAACAAAATGGCAGCCAAGTCTGTCATTTTATTGTTACCCACCTCAGTTAAAATACAATGGGTACAATGTATTTTACGTAGCTTTCAGAGTGTTTATGTATATCTATATATGTCTCCTATATATGCATATACATCTATATATACACAATTGACATTGTTTATGTATATATGTTATGAAAATGGTTAGGAAGAAGCAAGCTGAGTAGAAAATGCCAATTTAAAATATGTGTTATTGGAATATACATCTTTTTCTCTGTGGTCAGTGCTTTTTTTCTTTCTTGCAATATCACAGTGCCTCCTTTTCTCAGTCCTTTCAGTGCCTGTTCTGCCTCAAACTAATTTCTTCTATAATGTTTAATAACTCTTTTTAATTTCAAGGTACTTTTTATGACTGTCTATATTCATTCTGATGTTCTTTTCTCTTAGTTATCTGTTTGTAAACTTATTTGTCTTCATCTTCTCTATTCTTTCTCGTTGTCACTGAAGTAGTTTTAAAGAGGGCTTTTTTGAGTTTTCCTTATCATAGCAATCATTAAGAGAAATCACAAGCTGAAAATTGAAAGACAAGAAAAAAAAAAAAATATATATATATACACGTCTCATTCTAATTTAGAAGAATCATGTACCATGAGCACTGGTTTGCCTTCATGAATATTGATATTTCCCTTTAGTCTGAACCTCATAATTTGATCAGCATGGTGGACTCTTGGACTTCTTAACTATGGTAGCACCTTTGACAGCTCGCTGTGTGTATTACTGCACTGGAGTCTCATCATGGGTGTCTGGATCTGACATCACACGGGTGTGAATAATGTGAATATAGAACTCCCCAGGGGTAGTTTACTACATCCAACTTGAACCTCTTGCTGTGGTGATGTGGACAAATCTTGTCGACACTGGAAAAGTCAGTTCCTAGTAATGTATGCTTCCAACTGGTTCTTGTGTGACATTTCAAAGGGTAATCTGATGAGCTTGGTGCTAGTTTTCCCTAGGACACTATGCTTATCTGCCTTTGAAGGGCCATTGTCCCTGCAGATGATCTGTTTTCACAGCTAGTAAATAAGCACTTCAGAGAGTCTCTGTTGGCTGAGATCTTTGCCAGTGTACCCATCCAGGACCACGCACAGATACTAGAATAGTATTTTTATTAACCTGAAAATAGCCAAGTCCAGGATTCCAGGAAATCCAGGGTAGTAATAGCTTTGTCCAGGAAACAGGCCTTAGTGATTACATCATTTCTGTCATCATCCACAGTTTTGGCCTTCTTTAATTTTCTTTCTGTGTTGCCTTCAGCTAAACGTGTTCTCTTCCTCTGTTTCCCCAAATTTTTTTTTAAGACTTCTCTTTTTCTGTCTCTATTACTCAGAATTCTTCTCTGAATTTCTTCCCTCTTCTATGATGTGTTTTCTTCTCCTCCTACACTTTCTCCCATCATCATTTTGTTTCATTTATCTCTTCCAAATGTTCCTTTTGTCTCTTCCTTTTCATCTTTCCAGGGCTGTGATCAGGCCCAAAGAAAAAAAAAAAAAAAACAAAACAAAAACTTATATCCTTCTCTTCCTTTATCTGTTACCTTTCCTGTGAGCATCACGCATAACCGTTCTTTGATCTAGATGTCCTCTTCCTATCTCTTTCCTCCCTGAAGTCTCCATAAATATGGGTCCTCTAAACCTTTAAAGCCCAGCATCTATCTTTGCATACTTACTAACAGGAATTGCTAACCACTGACAAAATGCTCCATCTGTGTGAAAGTGGGTGTCTCTGATTAATTTTAAAGATGGATTCTCACAAGGTATATCGACAGATCTGTCTGAGGAATTGGTGGAGCCACCTTTTAACCTGGAAGGTACAGTATTCAACAAAGGACATAAATCTTCTTTAATAAAACTCTCTTGATAAAAGTAAAGATAAATTTCTGAGAATGAATTTTAGGGGCAACAGTCTACAGAATTTGCTGTAGTACATCTATAAGGGGAGGGAGAGGTGCTTGGGAAACAGTCATTGATTGCAATCCTCTTCTGCTAGAAGCCGAAAGAAGCAACTTGAAGGAGAATTTAATTCCTAAAAGTAAGATGCACAGTTTTGAAAATGTACCACATTACTGCACTCTAAATCTGCAGGGCTCTCTAGTTCGTAATAGTTCTCTTGTCTTCTGTACCATTTTTATAATGCTATCTTTCTATAATGTAGAAAGCATTGATACTGACTTGCTACTGCATACATCTGACTCCAAATGTCAAGGTGCCAGCAGTATTAAAGCAATCTATGTTTGGAAGACAGGGTGGGAAAGACAGTATCATTTGTAATTGAAAATTTTCTGAAAGACTGTACTGTTATCATCACTCTATGGATTACATGCGACTGCCCAGGGGTAGGATAAAAAATGTTAGAATGATGTAATTGTGTGAATAATTCTGACACAGCCATCCTTTTTTAAAGGCACGAACAGAGATGGCATTTCATTGCAATTTGTAAATATTCTGTGTTTCTCTCATCCCTGCGCTTTCAGTGGAACTTTTAAGGGTACTCAGTACTGGCTGAAAGTAATTGTAAAACCCATCTCTCTCCAAGGAAGTTGTTAAAGCAGCCATGACTGCTTTTGGAAATATACTCTAAGTCCCCCTTGTTTTCTATCAGCTGAATTTAAAAACTAATCAGTTTTCTCTCTGGTACAATTAAATCATAGACACATTCTAAAAACATTTATTTCTCTAAATATAAATATATAATCAGCAGAAACCCCTTAAGGTTTGAAACATTATTCCTATGTATGTATGTGAATCAATATAATGTTTTAGTATAATTAGAAAAACAAAATAGAGGTGTTCATTAGAATATAATTAATCTACTACCATTCTGTAATTTTCCTCATCTGTGCAGAGAATGCATTTATAATTCCCTATTCTTTCGATTGGTCCTCCCCTCTTTTCCTTAAACTAGCTGATGAATGGATCGTGGCTAACCCAGAGCTGACGGACAAAACGAAGTTTACTATCAATGGCCTACCGACTGGGTCAAAAATCCTTGTAAGAGTAAAAGCTGTGAATGCTGCTGGTGAAAGTGAGCCCAGGTACCACCCACAGCCTATTTTAGTCAAGGAAGTGGTAGGTAAGATTCTCCTGCCTACGCTCACCCACAAATACACTCTGCTTCCATACTTAGTGTTCTGGTTTTTAAGGCTAATATTTGTTGTTGGAAACTGATGATATGGCCTTACAAAGTCATTGTGCAGTGACCAGAAATCATGAAACACCTTAAAAAAAAAATTATAATTCTGTTTATTTATTTCACTTCTGAGCCTTTATTGCTCAGGCTTTCAAGGCTTTTTTTTCTGCAGAACTCGAAGTTGATGTTGCATTTTTTAAGTTGTGCTAAGTTTCTTGCCTATTCCTACCACCATAGTATTTGGTGTTACAAAAACCAACAGTGTGCTGAATGTAACATTGTGGGACCACGAAATTTAAGATACCTCACACATTAGTCACTTTTGGGAATTGTAGACCTCAGAGGCTCTTATTTAAACTGATACCCACCAGTGTTGCCTCAGTTAGAAAAGAAGATAAATATCAAACACAAGCTTTTGGCTTTTTTTCAGAACCTCCAAAGATTCGTCTACCAAGACACTTAAAACAAACCTATACTCGAAGAGTTGGAGAAACTGTAAATCTTGTTATTCCTTTCCAGGTAAGAACTAAAAACTCTGACAGGAAGATGCTCTATTTTTTATACTGCTGCTTTTTAACTTATTTCTGTGTAATTTTGGTAGGCCAATGAGATAACTTAAGCAGATGTGGAAGCACACTGAAGTACATAGGTGCCTGAAAGCTTTTGCTCTGATGTCTCAAAGAAATTATGTTAAGCTAATTAATGAATTGGGTAACTAGCTGAGACAGACTGATTTATCATCTGTCATCCAAAACACACTTATAAAGCCTCACAGTAGACATTATATGTGAGATAATTGCTAGCACAATGCAAAATGGTTACACTGGCAGTAGTTAGATATGGTATCAAAGGTAGGACTGTAGCATTTAAATATTTTCCTGTCATGAGAGAGGAAAAGGGGGGGAGGAAAGTGGGCAGAATTTCACACTCTCTTATAGAAACTGCAGCTTTTAAATCCTTGAGATCACGGCTACAATACAACTGTTTCTAAGGATATAGGACGTTTTCCCATGCCATCGTGTTAACCTTTCTTCCCATACCTTTTACAACAGTGACTCTCTTTACCTGATGGGTCCTTATTCTTCTGAAAACAAGAATTGCAGCAGAATTCATTTCTGTTTCATGTCTGTACACCTAAAGATACTGGGTGGGCATAATCCAACTTCTACAAGGCTGCTAAAAGACTAATAAAAGCTTGATCAGCAATACACTGCAACATACATTGCTCTTCAGAAATTAAAGGAATATTCTATGGTTATTCTGTAAGATAAGGCATTCAAAAAGGTGTGTGATTACCCTTTTCAGACAACATCTGCAAATTGTTTGCCTCTGGAAGGCAAATCTCATGGTAAAGCAGGTGGAATTCACTCTGATTCTGATTTAAGTACCAAAATCGGGCACTGCTGGGCCCATAAAAATGGCACACAAAATATGTCAATCCAGTCATTTCAAGTGCTTTTGCAATGAAAAAAGAGAGTTTGGAATCCCTGGAGGTTTAGTCCACTACTTTCCTCTTTCATTGGCAGTGTAGAGAATGTAGGCACTTACAGAAGGTGAAATATTTTGTTCTGCATTTTCTGCTTTTTTTCTCCTTTTTCTTTTAGAAAACTGGAAATTGCCAAATTTAGCCAGAAAGTTAATTGTCCAATTTAGCCAGAATTTGCAAATATGTTCAGTCTCTGGGGAAAAAAAAAAAAAAAAAAAAGTTGCATTTTAGGTGAATTAATATGATTGCATCTCAAATGCTGTACGATTTAAGAAAGAATTCTCAGTTCTTTCAGGACGATTTTTATTTCCTGTTTGAGAAAAATAGGAAACACATTTTGTCTCCCTCCCTTTTCTCCCCCAAAATCATATATAATTGTTTCCTGGCTTCTTACAGGGAAAACCAAGGGCAAAAGTATCATGGCAGAAAAATGGTTCTCCAATTGACAAGAACCAAATCAACATCCGCAACACTGAGAATGACACTATCATCTTCATCCGAAAGGCAGAAAGGAGCCACTCTGGAGAATATAACATGAAAGTGGAAGTAGAGAACTTGGAGGACAAAGCTACGATAGATATTCAGATTGTTGGTATGTTTTGAGAAACAGAAATAAATTCATGCCAAAGAAACAGACTCCAGCCATTCCAAGGCTATAGGAAAACAGAGGAATCCCAAAGAGCACCTTTCTCAACAGTGACAACTCTCCATGGCCAAATACTTGGCTATAGATGTGTGGTCTCTAACTAAACCTCCCTACACAATGGCAGGTGCTTGTTAGAGCATGCCAGTCTTTTTTTTGTCACTGTTATGCTTTTCATGTCCTCCACCTGTCCAGGATGCAAGCTTTTTCCCATTGAGTGGTATCTATATCCAGAAATGGTAGTAAATCCATAGTAACTCTGTCACAAGTGCAATGTAGAAGAAATCCTAAATTTGAAAGTACATGAAAGTAGAAAAGACAGACAAGGAAACACATTTACTTTTCATTTTTAACCATACATTTCTTTACATAATAGGCAAAACTGGTAGCACAGCCTTTGTAATGATTGTCCGACTTTGTCTTTTAGGAACACATCTTCAACTGGTTTTAACTTTTCCAGAATATCATGTCCTTATACAATTAAAGAGCACATGCATATTAAAACCATACTCACAAAGTGGTCAAGTTAAGTTTTTCATAATTCTGACATGTCTTAACTTTGTGAAGTTTTATTTTACAATCTCAGCTTTCTTTTGATGTTGGTTATGGCATGAGTGTGTTTCAAGAGAGAGAAACATCAAACTAAGTGGAAGATGTTTGTAGGAAGAGATACAGAAAGCAGTGGAAAATGTCAGCTACCATATTTTCATTACAGATCGCCCAGGCCCACCAGAGGTTGTAACTATTGAGGAAGTCTGGGGAGAGAATGTAAATTTATCATGGAAGCCACCAAAAGATGATGGCAATGCTGCCATTACTGGGTACACTATTCAAAAAGCAGATAAGAAGAGTATGGTAAGTAATAAGATGTTTTAAGGGCTAATGTACTCATGAATTCCCCATTTTAAAAATAAAAAGCCTTGCATGCTTAAATTGATGTAGGTGGACAAAGCATTGATTAGGCAGTGTTTAGAAAATCTGCAAGGCATCTCTAAAAATTCTAAAAATCTCCTGTTCACTGTATCTAAAGCCTAGAAATGGAAATGTTTTCAGATGATGTCAGAGAGGAGGACTAAAAAGGAAAAGACAGGTCCTCTGCCTCTAAATTACTGTGTTAAGGAGAAAGGAACAGCAGCAGTATATAGGGTCCAGCGTGTCATGGATCATTCAGGTCACGGTTTCTTCACTTCCTCTGTGGTGGTGAGTTTTGCAATTCTGGCACATTTGGCCCTCTACAGAAAACTGTTTTCCCAAAAGGCACTTTGGCTCTTAAAGATTACCAAATATCAACGCAAACTGTGGCAAAGGGAACTCAGCACAAGTTCATTTTCAGAAAAGCAAGAGAACTATGTAGGACAGAGTAAAGAAAAGCAAAAACATTGCTGTGGTCATACCGCACTTTACATTAATTGCATTTTTAGCATTAACCTCTTTCATCTCAGTTTGTTATTTAGGTATTCTGTGCTAGGATATAATTCACGTCCTGTTACTTCTGCAAGACTAAAGTGCTAAAATCCACCACCCCATCTGAGCCTTTAGATATCAGAGGACTACCTGCATAAAATTACATTTCTCATGAACACTCACCCTGTGGAGCAGGGGGTAGGTCAGTGCATTGGCCTCTTGTGAGTACATGCACACTAGGCACTACCGCAGACTAGTACGTGCTACTACTTTCTCCCTGCAGTTTTCTTATCTGCAGCAGTACCTTGTCTGTCAGCAGCGTGGGCTAGGAATGAAGGAACCTGCCTTGACTCGCAAAATACAACCTTTGTAATATTGGATTTCCTAAAATGAACCCTCCCAGCTAACCGAGTGTAACAACTCAGCAGGGTTTACTTTCCATTCAACCTTCACTGCTCCATGGTGAGCCCTGTGGTATCCTCATTTCCGGTCATTTTGTTAATTATTGTTAGCTTCACTATTTTAGTATTCGTTAACATTCCCTTCAAAGAAGAACCTTACTCCCACAAGCCTGATGTTTCTTCCAAACGTTTAACAGCTGAGAGGCCCAGGGCACTGCAGGGAAGCCTCCTCTTTGTGTTTGTGCCTTTCAGGAATGGTTCACGGTAATGGAGCACTACCACCGCACCAGTGCCACCATCAACGAGCTCGTCATAGGAAATGAGTACTACTTCCGCATCTTCTCCGAAAACATGTGCGGCCTCAGCGAGGATGCAACCATGACCAAAGAGAGCGCCTTGATTGCAAAGGATGGTTAGCTAATTATCCATTTTTTTTAAAAGGGAAGGGGGGTGTTCTGAAGCCGGAAGGTGATTAGAGGCAAAGGCCGGATCTCTAAAGGTGGAGCTGGACCAACTCTGATTCTGCAGTCAGAAGTCCTGACGTTTCAGAAATTGTCAGTTTGAAACGGTGCTGTAAACATAAAAAAAAATAATAATAACTGCCCCCTTATGGAAGGGAAATTTTGCTAACGGGTGGTGCAAAGGAAGAAAATCAAACCAGATCACTTCAGTTTGTCTGAGAGGAAGGAATATGTGACTGCCATGATGCAGAGGACAGACCTGTACAACCCACACAGCCAGGCTGCAGGACGGAAGGTCCAGGGTACTGGACCTCACTTCCAGTATTAAAACTACATCTCTTTTAGCAGGGGATCATGAACAAAAGAATGGCTACAGGAATTGCTTTTCATCAGTGCTTACTTGCCCTTGTCATGACAGCAAGTATCAGGCCTAAGTTGCACTGAAGTCAGTGTGAGAGTTTGGATCAGGTTTCAGTGAAGCAAAGATGTTTAATGATACCTGTGTACAGAAATAGATGTCAGTCTGTCCAGCTGTCTTAAATGCCAGCTTAGTTCATGGGTGAAGATGATTTATTGATGGTAATCTCCACTGTAGAGCAGGGATGAAGTGGCAGTGAGAAACTAGACTTTACTACCCCGTTTTCCTTGTACAGAAACTACATCCACCCAGATATCTGTATTCTTACTGCACTGTATGAAGCAAGGAAAAAAAAAAAAAAAAAAAAAAAAAAAAAAGGTTTTTCAGATACAGAGCCAGTTTGTAATCAGAACAAACTGTGAAAAGTAATCGGCAACAGAGTGAACAAGGCTTGTCAAGACAGGCATCCTGCAATACATCAGTCAGGATCCATCCTGTTCTGAAACATGCAGGACATGCAGGCAAAGACCCAGAATAAATGTGTATTATTTTGTATACCACCTACTCAGGAAACAAAGAGAAGCTCTCAGACATCTATGCTACAGCATGACCCAAGGCTCTGGTCACTTTGTAGGCTCACTTCCAGCCTCCCCCTACAAGTGCAATCGCTAGAGTCACGTCGGTACCTCAAGCAGTGCAGACCAGAACTGACTCGTTGTAGCTGTTTAAGATGACTGGGTATTTAGCTACACGCCAACAATTTTTATAAATATTTTATTTTCATTTCACAGGCAAAGTCTACAAATATCCAGTTTACGACGATTTTGACTTCAGTGAACGGCCATTGTTTACTCAGCCTCTAGTCAACACATTTGCTGTAGCTGGTTACAACGCTACTTTGAACTGCAGCGTTCGGGGCAACCCCAAGGTACAGCATAGCTCACATCATTATCACTTAAAACACAAGAGAGTTTAACCTGACAATAAGAATTGTAATAACATTTTTACTATTTGTCTCAGTCACAAGCCAGGCTAAAGGCAAAAAGAGCGGGGTGGCCTGTAAAGAATACAAAAAAGGACCTACTGACCTGTGTTATAGGCATTATAATAGATACTAAATTCAAAGATAACTCAGTGAAAGGGCAGAACCTCAGGAAAAGGCTGGGCTATACTGGGCCTGGCCCTGACAACAGCTGTACAGTTAATATATCAGTAAAGGCTGTTCCTAAAATAAAGCCATAATTATTCTATAAAAAGCTAATTATGCTTGAAGTAAGCACATTGCAGGAATACCCTGGGGACCGCGCTGGTTCTCAGACCCACTGTGCGATGCATCCTCCAGTTTCTTTTGAGTTGTGTCTTTTTGTGATCTATTTTCTGTTGTGAGAGACTGAACTGACCTATTAAAATGAGAACTCAAGATTAAGAGCACATTTGCTGTTCACTCTTCACCCTCACAGTTTCTGACTGTGCAAATTACTGTGAAAAAACATGCTTTGCTTATTGACTGAATTGGATGTCAAAAGCTATTGCTCAGATGTTTGCTATCATTACACAGCACCTCTTATATTGATAAGAGGCTGACATTTATGACTTCATTTATGTGATAGGGGCTGCATTGAAAAATCATGCTTAAAAACAGATGTATGATGCAGACCATATTTATGTTTGAGTTAACAATTAGAGTTTCCTTTCTATCACTATTTTATCTACTTTGTATCATTTCTGGATTGCTCAACTTTAAAACTTTAACTGAACATCACAAAAAGTGGTAAAATATTTCAGTTCATGTGTTTGTACATGTGGGCTTTCTCTTGTTTTTACCACAGCCCAAAATAACCTGGCTGAAAAACAAAGTCATTATAATGAATGACCCAAAGTACCGAATGTTCAGCAACCAAGGTGTCTGTACCTTGGAGATCCGCAAACCCAGCCCCTATGATGGAGGTACTTACACCTGCCAAGCAGTCAATCAGCTTGGAGAGGCAGAAGTTGATTGCAAACTGGAAGTAAAAGGTAAGGGGTTTAGAGCATTGCAGATGCCCTGTTTGCCTGAGCACCATCTACATAGGAGGCAAAAGTATACAAGTCAAATGCAAAAGGGAGTTCAAACAAGTTTTTTAACTTTCTCAGATTAAAATAATAACTTGGTTAGGGCAAAATAAACTGTATTGGTTGCTTTGTTTTCTTTTTGAGGACCAACATGCTGTATTTATGCTATATTATATCTTTTTCCCCCATTCCAATTCACATCTTCAGTGACTGCAAGGACTCTCTCACAAATGACATAATGGTAGACTGTAACTCCCAGAGCTATGCCACGTACCTGAGAAACTCTAATAAGACTCAGCCATAGAACCCTTTGGGAAAACATTAAGAAAATCACCTTGGATAAGAGACAGATCTCTGAAGGAAATGGCTAGGGGAGAAGGAGAGAATGAAGAAAGAGTAGTACAGGACAGCCGTTCTCTGCTTTAAAATTATATATTAAGCAAACCAAACATTTGCTTCCAAGAAAGTTTGTTAGCAAAATCATGTAGCAAAAAGCGGTATTGTTCCCAAGGGCATGAGCTTGTTGATGTAATTGCTGTATTTGCGTTAAGAACAAAGTATTCAAAACTATGGGTTTTGCAAATACAGGGCAAGAGGACACAGTAGCTTAGCCTTCTACAGTTGAAAACATATATTCATTTCCATTAATAGATAAATTTTATGAATTTCAGGTAGTTTATCATTGACTGGGTAATGGCAATAGGATATGTATTGGACTACTAATGAATAATCTCAAGACTGTATTTTTCAGAAAATTACTTCCTAGGAAAATATGGGGTCATATTTAGCTGGACTAACTCCCACCAAAGGCTGGTGTTTCAACTGTGGAATAAGCTAAGTATTTCTGAAAAAATTAATCTCAGGTTATAAGTAAGAAAAGCTGGCTAAAGCCAGCAGATAGGAAGTGTCTAACTCAGGAATTTAGGCTAGCTCAATATGGCCCTATCTATATTATTTCCATTATGCTACTCTATAATGAAAACCATAATATTTAATATCCTTATGGAATGTATTGTGTTTATTTTGGATTTTAGTTTCCATTTTCTGATGTCTCTTGTCCCACAGCTCAAATCTGCTAGCAAGAAGCCATTGCAATAAACGTTTGATCTATGAAGTTGAACAATTAACTAATGTAATGAAAATACGTGTAATACGTTTCTTAATTCTCATTATTTATTTTTATGATACTGTGTTTAAAAGGTGATGCTCTTATCCTGGAAGTATGATTGTTTTCCTTAATCACAAGCAAACTTTCTGTTTCACAGTGTAACAGAAGACCTCATTGCCTGAGAAGTTTGCTTCATCTAGTTTTTTTTTTTTATACTGAAAGGCCAAGTCAGTTTGCTATTTCATTCAACTTCCAAAGTGCCCAAACCCTAGAGTTCTTACGCACATTTACATTCAGTTGTAACTTTTTAGTCTTCAGCACTTTGCTTGTAGTACAACCAAATACTACACTTTAACTACAAGAAGCTCTTTACTTCTGCTGTTTGCTTTACAAAGATTTTTTTATATATAATGTGCAGAATACTGTAAAACATTAAGATAAAAATAATTTAACTAATATCTCTCCATTTTAGGAAGTCCAAACTCCAAATGTTGCCATGGGTTACATATTATTATTCAATAATTCCCTTTCCAGCTGTTGTGAAATAGAGATGTTTCTGTTGATCTTGGAACTTTTTTCACTCGGTATCAGGATGAACTAGTTCACTGGTTTTGAAGCATAATACAAACTCCGTGTCATCATTCAGGATCTCTTCTAATATGCATCACTTTCCAAGAAATTGTTCACCAGCACTGGAAACTGCTTTATGTTAGTTTTTTAAGAGAGAAGCGTGGAGCGATTTTTACCTTTGATCAACAGTGACAGGGAATTTAATTTCTTACATTTATGGACTGATACCTGAAACAGGCTGGGAATGCTTAGATCCTTTTCCAGTCAATTAGAAGTGATGTATCTAGGAAAAAAGCTACAGTTCTGTTCATTAAAGTGGTCACTAGGTACAGCTGAGATGATGTCCCTGATGATTCTTGCTGACAAATATTTATTTAACTTTCACAGGTCCAGTTTTCTGAGTAGTGTTCTGAAATGGAGAGCACACGATACACTTTGTTCACACGCCACCAGACCTGTCCCATTCACAGCTGATTCTTTCCATAATGGCTGCATTAAAGATTAAAACAAAACAAAAAAAAATTATCTGGCAACATGGCAGCAAACATTTAGGGTAGACAACAGTCAGAGCAGCGAAGCACTAGAGCAGATTTCCTGCAGAGGTCATAGAGCCTTTGGTACCAAGAGCCTTTAATAACAGCTTAGAAGAATGACAGCAGCACAATTTGTTAGGATTAGGATATGCACTAAATAACATCTCGAGATTGCTTCCAGCTCTGTGAGCCTGAGATTCGGACTCAGTTCTTAACATTGCCAACACACCATAGCCCCTCAGTCAGGTTCAAGTATCCTCCAAACATTCGTCCCCCAGGAAACCTTGGACAGAGGCAGGGGCTTTGCAGCCTGTCCTGAGGGTTGTATTAACCACCCTACCAGCTGGTTGCAGCACGTCCGACAGTCCCTCGGTTCCTCTGGCACCTTATCTTGGGGCTGCAGCTGAACACACTTTTGCTACAGTGAAAATGAGGCTGTAAGAATTACTCCCTTTATGCAAGATTTAGTTCATCCTTCCTCAATCCTAAACAAAACCTCTCATCCACTGACTGCAAAAGGTTTGTAGCATAGACATTTCTAGGCTCAAAAGTAATACTTTAAAATACCAACTGAAAAAAATTGGATACTATGCCACAGACATCTTGCTCAGAGCATTAGCTCAGTTTTGCATCACACCTGGAAGAAGTCTTGAAAAATGCAGGCTGTTAGGAGCCCACCTGGGCTGTGCATTGTTTCTCTCTCCTCAGCTATGTGATGGGCTGCTATATTAACCTAAATCCCACCTCCCCTCGTTAACGGTTGGTTTCTGAACCCAATTTCATGCCCTCTGTCACCTGGTGCAGTCCCACTCCCTCCCACCAAGCTTGGCGCTGTGGTTCTCTCACAATGGATTGGGCTGTGAGGGGTCACCCTGGCTGCGATTCCTGCCTCCACCCTGGCAGGTTTGGCCACGACTGCAGACTCCTTTCTGAGGACTGACCAGACCAGCAGTCTGCAGGGCTTAGAGAGAGGACAGCCGTTGGAAGGGTTCAGTGCTGACAGCCTTCACGTCCCTGGCCGTTCCACCGCTGAACTCGAGGGCAATAGGATTAAGCGAATACAGCAGCTGTAGTTCAGCAAAGCAGGGTAGGCTCAGGGTTTGCTATAGGATGCAGACAAACGCAAATGAGTATCAAACAGCCAGAGAATAAAAACATAATTACACCTTAATCCAGTCCTCTGTTAACTTACATGCGGAATTATCATTCTCTTAAGTTTCTCAGCCTGTTTGCTCATTTAGGGGCACTCTTCAGGTGACTGCTCATCACACTGACACAGAGCAAAGACTTACGGATTTCTGACTCCCTGGAAGTGGATTGCAGTGTGTGTGTGTGTGTGTTCCTATGCATTGCTTTAAACTGGTTCAGCTTTGTTCTGTCAAGTAACAATCAAGGTCTGGATTTGTAAAAATATGAAATACTGTTGAATGTTGCCTGAACAAGACCAACAGGCTCAACACTATGCTACCTATCTGTTGAATGTACTAGCTACAGTGCTGTAATTACAGATTTTTGGATAGTAAGTCACACTAAAGAGCTCTATGCTATGCAACAGTATATATTGTAGTAAGTGAATTTTCCTTATGTTAGCTAGAATTTCTTTTATCCACCTATTTCTGAGGTATTTGAGATGTGAAATTTATCATGCATATATATGCTCAGTCTTAGGAATGTCGTAGAACATACAGAACAGCCTAGGACTTCTGATTTTGCATAGTGTTTGAACAACTGAGTAGCTATGAATACCATCAATATGCTAGAATTTTGTACTTTTTTTAGCCATTTGCTTACATTATTCCAGGTGTAAGATTAAAACCTCTAGCTGTTATTAAATTTGCTGCTCATTTCCTGAAAAAGTTTTAGTGTTAATTATGAGCACAATAATAAAATCTTATTCTGTACTCAAAAAAAGGTTTTACACATACTGATGTTATTTCAGACAGGCAGTACTTCGTTCTTCTGTTTTAAGTTTTGCTGACTGAACCCAGAGATGGCTGTTATATGAGCTGCTCAGTATAATTGCATGTACAATGGCTTTTTTTTTTGTAAATATAAGCATGCTGTAAAAAGTTGTATAATAGATCTTAGCAAAAAGAATAACTAGCTATATATCTCAAAAGATGATGCATACACAGAACCTCATGATGCATGTTTCATACTTGTCTTACTGTGGAAAATAATGTATGTATCTTCTAAGTTTGTTGAGGTAGTTCCTTAAATATGGCTGTAAATTTCCCATTATAAGAAGTAAAGAACCGATTTCTTATCAGCTTCACTGAGGTCAATGAAAAGATTCAAATAAAGCACCGTGCTGCTTTGATCATTAAACAAATATTTTGGGAGAATGTTTATCTTAAGAGTGAAATCAAGGTTGGTGATCGCCCTAATAGGTTAGTTGATAATAGCAAAGATTCTGTGTGAGAATTATTTTTGAAAAAGGTTTTAAAGGTCAACTGGGAAGAATTTCAAATGCGAATAAATACCACTATAAATATTCTAATTCTGCAGTGATATATCATGGAGTAATTAACCCAGGAGAACCATTCTTCTTGGCGGGGAATAATCAGGTTTATAATAAGCATACTCCTCTGGACGTTCCATTTCATTCCCTTCCTCTCTTTCCACATGCAAATGCATTTTCTGCATGCAAAGTGTGTATTTATTTGCTTTTTTAGATTAAACTAGCTAATGTCTCATGGCATACAATGACTATGTCACATGAGCAAAGAAGGCCAAATTAATCAAGAATATGAGTATTTAACATCAGAGTTACAAAGGTTTTAGACATACTTCTGCTATGCCACTGAGCACAGAACTACCTGTACCTGTAAAGAATTTATTTAATGACTGTGACTAGCTTTGACCAGAACACTTAGACCTTTCCACGAGATAGAAATCTGCATCTCCAAAAAACAGCTCTCAGTTAGTTTGTAGAATTATTGAAAGGACAAAAGTATCATAAAGTCATTTGCTATGCTTAAAAGGCATTCTTCAGTACAGATTAGTCTTTAGTTACAAATTAGTGCTCAGAATGATAATCCATGCCTGATCTTAACCTACAGAATCTGAGGATGAAATCTTGATCCAATTGAAATCAGTGAAAAATTTTACTTACAAGCATCTAATTTTCCTTCATTTCCTCTAGAACTTATTTTAAATTCAGGTTTGGTGGATTCAGAGAATTTGGACGTTTCTATAGAAATGTGTTTGGTTGGAACCTTGACCAAATCCAGAATATTCATGGTGCAGTTTTAAAACGACAGAGATGCCCAGAAACCAGTCTGCAGTATATTATGCACCCAAATTTACTATTTCAAACCTAAAACATGTTAAGAAATCAGGCTAGATAATGTTCCTGTAGTTTTTGAAGTATTAAGGTATTCTTCTTAAAAGGCTACAATAGGTACAAATTTGAGTGCTTTTATACACATACATATACATAAATGTATATACATGGGTCTTTTATAGAGTCAAAACGTTTAATTAAAGGTAAGGGCTCCTACACAGTAAACGGCATGCTTTAAGTAATGTAAATGTGGTTATGTGACAAAGTACATACTTTAGTGCACAGGTATGTAATTAGTCTGTACTTGATTATTTTGCCTTACAGAGTTTCAACATATATATATATATATATATATATGCTCTTCAGTGTTATGTGTGTGCTTTTTTTCCCTGGTGGAAAATACTATATATATATGTGTTAGCTTCTTTGAAGCTACATTTGGAAACATTTATTATAAATGCCAGTTGCATAATTTGGTTCCAATCTATACTTTAGACTAATTACAGGTTTTATAGTTACTTGTACATATTAATATAGCTTTTACATATTAATGATAATTTTGAAGTGAAACTGGATCCCTACCTTTTACTCTTCATGTGCTTCTATTCCTACATATTTTACATGACTAAGGATTAAAACATCATCTTGACATAATTGTAAGCATAATTTCACTCAACATTTTCTCTCTACTTTTGTGTTTGCGATTAAATTGTTACTTCTCTTTCTCTCTCTCCCTTAGTTACACAGTAAGGATTTTTGAATGTATATTGTCATCTAAGGTAAGCTTTCATATGGTTCTTGCATATGAAGCTTATGTCTGTTTACACGTCATACAATGTCTGCCTAGTATGGCATGATTTTCATTATTTCACTTAATGAAAATGGTTTTTTGTTTTTTTGCTTTTTTTTTTTTTTAATTAGTAGCATGATGGTTTTAATGCATCTAAATTCAGACTTTTATAATAATTGCTTGTTACAGTAATTCCTCTTAGTGATACATCCCGCTACCTTCTAATAGAGCACGTTTCAACGTAATTTAACAGTGTATGAGTTATCATGATTACTTAGCATGAATAAATTGCAAGTAATAAAAGAGTATTTTGCATTTACAGTAAGTTATTTTCATATAGGTATATACCTCTACATAAATGAAATATTTATTCCACAGTTCATTTCATTTAAAAATTAATGATTCATGTATCAACTTGCACTATATTGAGTTGAAAAGAATTCCCAAAAGCATGCTTTTTTTTGTCTGTATTGTGCATCTACCTAAGGTCAGAAGCAAATCATTCTGCAGCAGCGACAGTGTTAAATGAGATAGCGCAGTCTCACAATCACCAGTAACTAATAGCACCTTAATTGGATAATCCTTGTGCTAATAAAGGTTATAAATTCCAAAAATCTGTGCTCGGGATAAATGCTGTATGTAAGTATCAGCTCAGTTGCATTTAGCTGAAGCATTCAGAGACAGTGATGTTGGCAATGTACTTTTGCTTTAAAGCTTTTGGTGTGTTCCAGCAAAGGCTCAGAAGGTAAGTGCAGTTATTAGCAGGTGGTTTTGCAACTTCCAAACAGAATACTCATGCAGATTTGTAAGAGGAACAGTAATGGTACGTAGCTTCCTTACAACAAATGCCACCCTTCAACTTGAGAAAGGGCAGATTCTAATGTTTTAGCAAAATATTTATCTTTTTCCCACTGTTCCTTCCAAATATCATTTGATTTCAAGGAAATTAACAGAAATACCCATGTGTTCAGTTTCCATGACTTTTTTTTCAACGGCATGAAATTTCACTCCTAATTTGGATTATTTGTATTTAATTACTGCTTCTACATCAGCAATCTGGGGTGCCCCTGGCTGGTGTGTTAGACATTACATACATGTGTTTCTGGGCACTGAAAGAAATATTTTGTCTTGGGTTGCTAAAATTATTAAATGTTTTCAAAAATAGTTTGCCTTCTTCCTTTTTCCAGAACACCAAAGAAAACATTGAGCACTTCCAGTGGCTTTCTTCTAAGCCCAAGTTTCTACTCCAGCAGAAATTTAAAATAGGTTTGGCACATTTTTTTTACTCACAGTGGCCACAGTCACAAAGCACATAGAGCTAAAAGACTGGGAGTGGTACTTCTGCTACCTGTCCAGTGAATATGGACTCCAACCATCATAAAACTGGGGAAAAAAAAAAAAAAAAAAAAATGCAGAGACAGGAACCAAAGTCTTGGCCGGGCTGGAGGAAGCGCTGCATACAAAAGGCCCCTTTTTGTCCGCAGAGCTTGTGAGCGTGGACGCTGCCCCAGGCTGGAGGGGTCTCCCCTGCGGAGTGGCAGGACCTCCCCAGCTCTGGGATCGCGTGCCAGTCGCGCCGAGCCCTGGGAACACTCGCGAGCTTTCAGGGAGTAAGCACATGGGTCCAGGGTGACTACATGTGGTCTAGCTTTTATTCAAAAGCAAATCCAAAATCATTCTTCAGACTTCCCCAGCGGATGAAAGCTTTGACATTCATCACCTCTCTCTGGAGTCTAAAGGCACCTGTATCTAAAATCCTGGCTTTTTTTCATGTGATTCTTTTACATATGTCTTCCCACCTGTCATTTTCAAGGAACATGGTAAATATCTTGCTAAATACTTATGAACCATTATAAGACCCAACACTAGAATAATTTTAATGTGTCATCTGCATGTTTTGCACAACTCCTTATAGTCAGGTGTTTTCTGTATTGTTCCCTCTGGGCTGACTTCCACCTGTGACTGCTCTCCACCCAGCCTGACGGAAATCCAGGAGGGTTATTTGAGGTGAAGCTTATCATAGACCCTTGCATGGGATGAGAAAAATGACTGAATATATGACATCCTAGAAATGAAATTCACCCTGTGCAAGAGGACAGCAAAGTTCTGTATAATACAGAGGTTAAATAATGGTTAATTCTAGTGCTGGTCTTTTGAACAGGGATGAATTTTATCACATCTCAAAATGAAGTATGCAATAGGGACTGACTAAATCTTTGTTGCTTGCACGAGAAAATAAAGGTACCAAGCTGTTCCTCCAGGGACCGACAATCTGAAGATCGTCTTATTCCTTGTTTGCAGGTGGGCTTTCGTTCTTCAGACTATTGATGGATGGAGTGCCTCCGCATATCATTAATTCATATATGCGTGAAGTACAGGGAGACAAAACTGAGGGGAAGTGAGAGTCCTCCCACAGCGCTGGAAATTGATAGCAGAATTACAGCATTTTAGTTCTTGCAATGACAGAACAAACGTGTGATGGGAGATTTTTCTCTTTCTTTCTTTCCTTTTTTTTTTTTTTTTTTTTTGTTTCTTAATTGTTGTTTTGTTTTCCCTACCTGCTCTTATTGAAAAGGAAGAATACGCATGGATTGCTTTGGGGTTGAAATGAAATGAAGACAACACACGTTTTGTAATGTTCAGCTTTATTTTTTGTTTGATACTGTTTTCCGTTTTTTAATGAGGAAGGAGGAGAAGCTGTGTAATAAACATGAGGAGGCAATCAGAGTTCGTGCTCGGTGGTATAAAGCATATCTTTCTCAGACTGAAAGTACGTGGATTAGCCAGTAGCTGTGCACTAAGACCCCTGGAATACATACCTCTGATTATGTATCTTATTCACCTGACAATTGTTTAACAGAATATGGATTTACTATAACGTAATTAATACATACGTACTTAATGATCATTTAAGCTGAACATATTTTCCTTTAGAAGTTTTGATTTCCTAAATCAAACCCATCAGTCTCTCAACTGAACTGAAATTGTTTTATTTAATGTACAATAAATATGAAGTGTTTAAGATCTATCAAGTTCCTGTTTACTATTTTTTCAGGGTTTTTTGTTTCATCTTATCACATTTGTTTAATTTCCACATACTGTAAAGCAGAAACTTGAGCCCACCACACTGAGTGGAAAACAGATTCACCTAACCTAATGGGCTTACACTTTAAGGTACATGACACAGAAAATGAGTGAAAATAAATGCTATAGATACATGCAATTTTGTATCAATATGTCTTCAGTATTTTAAATATTCTAAATGCCAACCGTGACAGCTTTCACCATTCTGCATGTGCCCCTTTCCCCAGCAATTCATGAAGCTCTTGTAGGTATCGTAGCAGAAAAGGGACTCGGACCATATCGCTGGCGAGTTTACTGTGCAAGGCAAAAACGCCTTAGACAAGGTAAAGAGGCTACGTTACTTTTCCAACTTTTTTCAGGAGTTGGGGTGATTGTCTGTAAGTCAGCAGCAAACTCCGAAGCATGTGAGACACAAGGTCACACACAGGTTGGCCAGGTTGTCTGTTCCCTATTGCCCTGTCATTTATTTACCAGTTCTCACTCTGGCTGTATAGATAGGGTAGGTTATGTGCTTACTGACTAATGATTGATATCCAATTACGGTTTATAAAGATAAAGGTCTACTTAGACCAGTAGTACATCACAAGATGGTTATTTGACACCAGTGCATTTTCAAACATCCAGCAGTCAGTAATTACGCAATAATAAAAGAATGTGTTACTATGAACCGCCACTGTCGAACTGGTGTTTTTGCAGTTGGATTACCACTTCTCTCACTTTGGGGGTCTGAATGCATCTCCTCACTTTGTTCTGTAAATCTTTCTTGTTCTGAGATTCTCCTCCTTCTTTCTCTCTTTTCTACCTCAGTGGTTTCTTTTGGGCTGCCATCTGTGCAAGGAAGCGTTCTCTCCATTCCCAGTGATCCTGGACAACCCCCACCCACATTTCACCCTGCTCCTGCCAAAATCAATTTTCTCCTACACATTCATTTACACCTACACATGAAAGAAGGCAACACAACTACTAAGAAGAAAATTTCATAAGGGATTAATAATTTCCCTTTATTCTGTATCTCACCAGTGAATCCGTACTCCCTTCACCTGTTTGGAAGCACCGAAGGCAACGGGAGAGGGTCAGTTTGAACTGCCCTGCCGTGCAGGTTGAAGCATTTAAGCCCACGGCCCTCATTTAAAATAATACCAGTCTGTTGAGATACGTTATGGGCAGCACCAAAAGCCATAGTTATTGTGAGTTGGTGCTTTTCAGTAAACCAAAAAGGATGCACATAGCTATCTGCACTCCGTATGCAATGATGCTTACAGCTTCAAGCTTGTGTATGTGTCTGCCTCCTCGGTCTTAATATACCATACGTAACAACCTGGTGCCAGCATAAATCTCAGCTTCTGTAGGCTCTCTGCTGAAGGAATTAACTACTCTAATTTCTAGCAGATGCCAGCAGTGTTAAAAGACAAGCTGAACTAAGCTACTTTTCACTGTGTGAACAGTAAGTGTTATATTCGGATGCCCTTAATTCCTCCCCAGCTGCTTTGTCCAGCATTTGCCACTGTCCGTCCCTCGGGCCTGCAATGCGCCACGCCAGTAGGAAGTACTGGGTATCGGGCCGTGGGTGGAATTGAGATGAGTGGGCATTCATGTGCTATAAACTCGTACTTTCACTAACCATGCTGACCAGCTAAGCCTCTGGATTAAAAATTAATTGCTAATTACTTAGAAAGGAATGATAGGATGGGGTGGGATAGGAAAGGGATTGCTAGTAGATCTAAAACAGGATGCAGAACCTTGAATAGAGAATAACAAAATATAAATTTTGATTTCTGATGATTTGACTAATGGGATTCTCCATAGATGGTGTCTGATAGATGAACTAACGTGACAAAAAACACAGAGTTAAGAAAAGTCTAATGAAATCTGCAGTTAGTACCAGCTTGGGAAAACAAAGACGTACCAAAGACAACAAAAACTACAGGCAAAACAACCTAGAGAGACTAGAAGCAGCAGAATATCATGCTGTAGAAGCTGTGGCCCGATTCTCCCAAGAAGAAATTTCTCCAAAGTCAGCTGGCACGGAATTTCCAGGAAATTAGTGAACCTGAGGACATCAAATAAAACCTGGTCATACGAGATTAAAACATAAAAGCTCCAGGGGAAGTGAAACTAGTAATGCTTTTATGGCTTTTGGTTGTGTTCCCTGAAGTCTCATATGTGAAACCAGTTTAAGCCTTCAGCTTAGTTGCATTATTCATATTATCTGTTTGCAATGTACACTCTCCATCAACCAGTACGTGCTGAGGCTTTTCTTTTCTGCACAGTTTCACTATCTGGTAGAAATTTAGTATCAAAAATATTAATCGATATATCAATGAAAATACTAAAAATATTAATCAAGCTCTGTCTTGGTGTTCAGTTTGACTTAATATAGGTCAAGGAAAATGATTTCTTGGAATAAGAAAGCAGGCCCAAACATATATACACACACAGATACACATACAAAGAAGAATCAAAGTTGATTAGAAAAAGGTTTATTTTTAAGGAAGCCAGAGGAAACTGTTTTGTCTTCTCTTGGCTTGCTTTCCTTACCCATGGAAAGGCATTTGGCATATAAATGTTGCTGTTATATAAATACAGACCCATTCTCCAGTTGCTGTATGTGGAGCTTGATACAGGCATTGTAGTTACCCGTCTGCATTGAAAGATCATGGCTAGTGCCAGCCCATTTTTCCTTCACTGAAAACAATCTCACAGATATTGAAAGGGGAGGGGAAAAAACACACGCAAATCTTTTAAAGAATGCTTAAATTGGCGTATGTTGCTTATAAGGAGGTCTTTAACGAGAGACAGAAATTTTAAAAAACAATCCTTTATAAAAAAATGTTTCAAACTTCCTGTACTTCCTTCTAGGGGGGAAAAAAAAAAAAAAAAAAAGCATAATATTGCTACCTTTTACAGAGCACTGTGAAGGGAGACTTACTTTATAAACATCTTTTGTTGTATTTTGAGATTCTGCAGCAAAAGGCATTCTATTTTAAGCACAGTATACTTACTGTCACTTGATTTTCACAGACTGCTTTCCTGACTGACAAGTAAAGCTGTTGCTTTGCTGAAGCATTTGGAAGCAAAACAGTATCCTGAATACTGAGGAAGCACTGGAAGTCTAAACACACTGGACTTTATATTCTAGATTCTCTTGTTCACTTTGCTGCTGAATACTTTTTAAATTAAAACAAACCCTTCCCCAAGCTCAGTGATAAATTCAGTAGGGAATCTATTTCTTCCTCTACTCATGTGGCCCTCACTTTTTACACCACTTACTTTCCCCTTCACTTCTTTTCCTAGTTTGTTTTCTCTTCTTTTCCTCTTGGAAAAGCTTGATCAATCTCTCCATAAATACCAGTACCATTATCCTCATCAACCGCAGCAATGCACAGGGCATTAAAAGAAACAGCTTTACCTTTTTCCAAACCCTGTGATTCCAGTGGACTGGGGATCTGGCTGGTTGTGAACCTGTCACATTTCCCTTTTGCCATTCTCTAGTTGGCTGTTATGCAATCTTTCTTTATTAGGTTATGTATTACTCCCTCCCTTGTTGGCAGTTCCTCTCTGTTTTGGCTCCTAATCTCAACTGCTGTATCAGACTGTATTTAGTGATCTGTAAATGAAATCAGCTGATCAACGACATAGCACTCGGGATGCGCATACCACGTCAATGGATTTTGAAACCGTATTTTTGTTTATGGTAAGCATTCCTGACCCCTGTGGTAGAGAAACCTATTCAAAAACATACAAACTTTATCAGGCAAAGTGAATCAGCTCACTTTAATAGGAAACAGCTCTGTTCAGGAAATTGTGTCTGGCCAGAAAGCAGCAGCCTCTGGCTCACAACAGCGTATCTTAAAAAAGGATTCCCAACTCTAAGAAGATGCCATTTGGGTGTGTAATACTTGCTAGAGGTTGTGTTTTCTACTTTCTACTTTGCCCTTCATACAGCTACACAGTGCTCACCTTCCCTTGGCCACGTTCCGTAACTGCCTACCTTCCCAGAGACTCAGGGATACATCTAAAACCCTTCCAACGACCAATTCAAGCAATTGGACGGGCCACAATTTCTGAAAAGGCGTTTTTGTTTTGAAGCGCCTTCTCCGTGCAGGTCAAGGAGGTGAAGCGAGTCCTGGCTAACGCCCTTCCCAGCCGCCCGGTACCACGCGAGCCCCCGCTCCCCGAGGGGCAGCGGGTCTCCCGCAGGCGGGGGACCCCCGGCTGATGCAGTGGGGGGAGAATCCCCTCCCTGAGGACACGGCCGCAGCACCCTGCTGACCGCAGGCAGGCCACCCATCTCCTCAGGCCCTGCCTTTGTACT